ATCTACTACCCAAGTTGCACTGGTAACTAATGAATTTGGTGCATATCCTCCCTGTTATTTTAAAAGATTTGATTTATTTATTTGAGAGAGAGGGAGAACACAAGTGGGGGAAGGGTAAGGGGCAGAGGGAGAGCAAGAGGGACAGGCAGACTTCCCTCTGAGCGTGGAACCCAACTCGTGGGACTCAATCCCCGGACCCCAAGATCATGACCTGAGCCAAAGTCCAACTGAGCCACCCAGGCACCCCTCCCTGTTATTTTAAAATAGTTCAGTGTACCCAGACATACATTGGTATTTGATATTGCTTGGGGTGTGTTTTAATTTAAGTAAATGGTATCAGAGGATTCATATCATTCTGCATCTTGCCTTTTATCACCAAACATATTCTTGAAATCTGTCCATGTTGATATGTATATAAGAGCTTGTTCATTCCTTTGAACTGCTGCATAGTATTCTACCATATGAACTTTTTATACCACATTTTATATGTCCTTTGGTCTAGGGATGGTCATTTAAGTTATTCCCCCTGCCTTTTTTTTTTTAATTGCAAACTATCATGCCTTGATTTAAAAAAAAAAAAAAAATCTCTGTATGTGTCTCTTTGAACATCTGTGCCCCAGATTCTCTAAGGAATTTCCCCAGAAGTCGAATGTACTTCACTGCTAAGAACTGAAGAGGAGCGGCCATACCTGGGATCCACTTCCCCCTAAAGCACTTCCGCCCTGTGTGACCTTGGACAAGTCACTTCTTTGAATCTGTTTCTTACCTATAAAATGGGTGTATGATAATCCCTAACTCAGTGGCTTGTTGGGAGAGAATTAAGTGAGACTATCTCTAAAAAGCAGCTGAAATAGTGCAAACAGTAGGAGCCCTGTAGCTCTCATCGTTCTTGCTACAGATTTTTCTAGCAACCAAAGAAGAATGAGAAGGCAATGCCCAACCCTCCTGCAAAACAATGCCTCAGAGGCCCGCCCAGCCCACCTTACCAAATGTCAACTCCCTTCCCGGGCCTGGCCTGGTGTCAGCTCCTTCAGTAACTGAGCAAATGTACCTCTCAGCATCTCAATTTCCCTCCTTGTAAAATGGCATAACACTCGCCTCAAAGGTGTGAAGCTTAAAGACTAGAAAATAAATGGAGGGCACTGTTTATACTGTGCTGGCCTCTTGTTCATCCAGGACCTTTTCTCCTTCAACGCTGTGAGATGACCCAAGGTCTCAACTCACTGACTGGACTGGCTGGACGTCAGAGCTGGACTGTCCCTGGTTTGACTTCTGTTTCGCAGCTGTTGCATTTTACCTGGCGGATGCTGCGGAGTCGACACGCGGAGGTTTTGCGGGGTTCCCATTTTTTGTTTTTCTCCCTGCACATTTGAGTCCAGGAAAGGCTGGGAGGCTGAAATTTGCTAAAATATCTCCATCTAGTGGGCTCGCTGAAGTACTGCAGAGTTCGGTGTGGTCTGAGAAAAACAATGGGGCGACAGCTGGGGCCGCCCTGCCCTGCTCTGAAACGCCGGTGGCTCCCCATTGTCTGCGGAGTAAAGTCCAAATGCCAAGCCTGGAATTCGAGCGCCGGCACAATCAGGCCCCGCCCTGCCTATCGGACCTTATCGTTGGCGGCGACCTTCTGCCCGGCCAGGCCCAACTCCTCCCCGCCAGAACCTCAAAACCCTCACCTGCCTGGTACACGTGCCTGCCCTGTGCCCCAGCCCACTCTCGGCCTCCTCCTCACCACTCTCTCGAAGCTCAACCTCCTTCCAGGCTCAGCTCAAAGGCCCCCTCTTCCCGGAAAACCCACGGACCCTTCAACCATCTTGACCTGACACCAACACTTGCTGTTAGTTATTTTTATATTTCCATGTTTAAAGCTGTGTTTTGTCAGTGCATGGCCTCCCCTGCCTAATTCGATTGATTGCAATGATTGCACGCCCTTCAGTCTCGTGAATCTGGATCCATATCTGGCCTCCACTTCTTCCCAGCTCTGAGAAGTTGGAAGAGAGGGAACCTCAAACGGTGAAATAGAGTTGAGAGCATCTACCTCACAGGGCTGTGGTGAGAATTAAATAAAACTGGATGCAAAATGGCCAGCACATATAAACACCCAATAACTCATCTTTAGATTGCTCCGATTTACATATAGGACACCTAATTGAACTTGAATTTCAGATAAGTGATTTTATATCTCAAATACCCCAAATATTACATGGGGATTCTGCATAACATTTCACAGATAATGATGTTAAGGATTATTGTTCATTTTTTAAGATGTGCTAAAGACATTGGGGATATATAGATAGATATACAAATTGGCAGATTCTGCATTTGCAATCGCTCCTACTGGCTAACATTTATTGGTCTTGCCAAAATCAATATTCACAGCACTTAGTCATTCGCAGACATGCATAGAGTGGAGAAAAATTCAAGTCTCCCAGTATGCAAGTTCCCAGCTGAAGTCATCAGTTGACACTTCCTATTCCAGCTCTCATACAAGGTTCCTTTTGGCAATTTCCTTAGTACCACATTTTCCTCATTTCTGTGCTTTCTGTTGATTTTACTGCTTAAAATGGACACCAAGCAGAGCGCTAAAGTGTCGCCTAGTGTTCCTAAGCCAGGAAGGCTGTGATATGACTTACAGAGAAAATACCTGTGTTAGATAAGCTTCGTTCAGGCATGAGTTACAGTGCTGTTGGCCGTGAGTCCAATGTTAATGAATCAACAGTAGATATTAAATACAATGTCTTTTAACAGAAAGTAAGGTTATGTACTGATCAGTTGATAGAAGTATTGTGGCCAGACTTTGGCAGGAAACTAACCCTGTATATCCCCATGAGTAATGGTTCAGTATTCACTGATTCGGTGTTCATGGTGACGCTATAGAACTACTGTGAGTCAGGAGAATCAACTACGTATCATATTATATACCATGTATATCTAAACATCAACTATGAATATGAAAATATATAATATGCAATAAAATTTAAATATTTATCTATTTAATTATTTATCTATTTAAATATTTATCTATTAGAGAGACATTGAAATATTATGTGAAATTAAACGATGTCTAGGATTGCTTTAAAATATTACAGAAGTGGTTTATTATTAAAATATTAAAATACTACAGAAGGTGTGTGTATATATATATATGGAGAGTATAAGATAGACAAATTAGCAAAGGTTGAAGATTGTGGAAGTGATGATTTATTAGAATATTCTCTCTACTTCTGTGTTTGAAAATGACCATAACAAAAAGTTTTAAAAAACAGTAGAGGAGAAAATCTTGGGGGAAGAATATCTAATCCGGTAGCTTTCACTCTGGACCCTCTGTTGGGACAGGGCTCCCGATGATGCCACCTGAGATGTCTGTGTGGATGAATCCCAAGCCCTTGAATGCAGAATACCAGGCTGAGAGGTTCAGGAGACCTGGCTGTAGTCTCGGCCCCCCCATCAGACTTACTCTGCTACATCTGGCAACTCACAGTGCCTCTGAGCCTATTTTTCTTATCTGTTAAATAAGGAAATTGAATTGGACAAACTCTGGGTTCCCCTTCATTGTTAAAACGCTCCCATTCTAAAACCAGTATTTCCTAAATTGGCATGTTCTGGTATAACATTACAGCCTCTGGCCGGCTCTCCCTTCCCTGCCTCCATTCATCCTGATACACTATTCTGTGAACCTTGCTGAAGTTCTGTTTTTTGCAACATTCTAACCAGGAAGCTATTCTAATTTTGATTTATCTAAATCAAAGTCTGAACTCAAAGCTGACCGGTTAAGGCCTGTGCAGGAGGACCATCCACGGAAACCCTCTGTTGAAGAAGGACCATGAAACAGGGACAACATGGGATGCACCAGACGACTGCAGAAACACAGAGGAAAGTCACCAAGCTGGCCTAGGGAGGCAAGAGGAAGTAAGCTGGAGGAAGAGATACATGACCTGAGGCTCAAGGAGGGGCCAGGAATTACAGCTGTAAACAGAGGGGAGAAGGATGTTCCAGGCCAAGGCTAATGTGTGTGAAGTCCTGGAGACAGGAGAAATTTGAAAAACGCTTGGATTTCAAAGACCATCACACCAGCCCCATGAATCTCTCTGGCATTATTTGCCACCATTCCCTGTCACCCACCTTCCCCACCTGCCCGGCATGAGTGGTATGTGTGCTGGGGAGCCTGGGATTCATATTTTGGAAAGTATATTTGGGACTCCCCACTAGACCTCCTTTAAAATGACCAGGTCAGGATTAACTTTTACACTTCCCCCACGCCTTTTTGTTTTGCTCATCCTGCGTAATTCTAACGGCCCACTTTTCAGTAGAGGAAACAGGCTCAGTCAGTTTAAGTCACTCAAGACCACCCAGCCAGTGGAGGGGGCGACAGGGATTCAGATGCAGCTCTGACTCCTAGCAATTTTGTCCTTCACACTGCACAGGGTAGCCAGTGCACACAGTGGCTTTTAGTCAGGTGTCTGCGAGAGGGTGCTTCCTTACAGGTTCCCGGCAAGCTGCAGCTTATAATTCTACACTGAGAAAGCTGAGGACAGCGTCAGGGCTATGCTTACAGACCCTTTGCTTTGTTTTGTTTTGTTTTGTTTTGTTTTGTTTTTCCAGGGCTAGATCGTACAATAAAATCTGGTGGCCTCAACTATCCCACCCCCCCAACCCGGGACAAACTCTAAATCTTCAAGCCTGGGTTAGAGTCTCTTTTCCACCTCCTAGCTATGTGAGATAGGACAAGTAACTTGGGATCTCATGTAAAACGAATGTTGCGAGACTGCTGTGAGAATTAAACAAAAGTGGCACCTATGCAGGAGGCTATCCGTACGACCCCAGGAAGGGTAGGTAGGACAACTCGCTTACACCCGGCCAAAGGTCAGGAGTAGGCGCGGCTTCTGCGCACGCGCTCTCCGCAAAGACCCGGCAGGCATGCCCGAGGACTCTGCGGCTGCGCATTCGCCCGGCTTTGCGGCCGCACTGCTTGACGGCGGCGGTGACCGCCCACCCGCCGGCGTTACCGGGGTAACGACGAGCGCGTGGGGCTAAGGAAGGTAAGGCGCCGGGGCGAGCCGCTGGCGGTGTCCGGTGGCGCTGAGCGCGGTGGCCACGTCTCGGGCCTTCTCTGAAAGCTCTCAAGAGCGAGAGCGGAAAGGGCGTAGAGACTCCCCGGGTTGCACAGCCGCCCAGAGTAGGCCGGGCAGGGGAGCCAGGCTTCCTGGTTCCACCGGAATTAGCTCCTCTCTGGTTCTTCCAGCACCTGTAGCCCTTTGCACTTCTCTTCGTTCTTTCCCAAGAACAGGATGCCGCGTTCAGTGCTGGGGGCTGGGGACGTAGAGGTGTATTGGACACCCGTCTCTGCCCGAGAGGATCCTCAGCCGCTAGTGCAGTTCTTGAAGGGCGGGGGGCGCTCAAGGAAATCCGCAGAGGGATGAAGTAAGGCAGGGAGTTAGAATTTCGTGGGCCCTTAATACCTTCTGGCTTGTGTGTAGTCACTTATTGCAGTTGCAGCCCCCGTCTGGCTAGCATCTTGCACGTGACAGGCCCAGTACGAGGCTCCTTCGCCTTCACACAGTTAACCCACTTAATCCTCACAACAACCTTCAAAGGGTTATCGTTTCTTTATGTGGCTTAGTCTCAGGTTCTGACTTGAAAGCTCCCCAGGGCCTGGATTGTTTGCCTTGTCCCTTTCATCCTTGCCTCCCTTATCCCAGGAGGTACACCGTTGGAGCTTCAAACATTTTTTAATTGGGAGAAGGTGAGCTTTACTGGGTGGGAGGTTTTTTAACCAGGTTTATTTGGCAAGGTGTTTCCAGGGGATTGGAAAATTAAATGGAGCTACCTCCCCCGTTTTTGTTTTGCTTGTTTTGTTTGGATAAACATTTACTGAATACCTAAACAGTGTTAGCTTGTCTGCTCAAGGGAAGAATAAGGAGCAAGCCCTGCTTTTGATAGTAAAGTAAATGCACTTACACTTCTTGTGTCTGGAGTCAAGTATGTCCTGGGTTGGGAAAGGAGAAACAACAGGTGCATAGCACTCAGCCCCTCTGAGTCCCTTTCCTGCTCTGAACAATGGGAGTATACTTAGGGAACTGTTGGGATTAAGTGAGTTTGAATAGGCTATCCTGTCACCAGTAGCTGGCAACTTCGGCTACTGCTGAAATCATCTGGGTCCCACCCCAGAATTTTTGATATAATTGCAGTTGAGCTCTGAGCATTAGGATTTTTAAGATTTCTCCAGGTGATTCTACGGGCACCCAAGCTTGAGAGCCACTATTGTATACCACCCAGAGTTAATTAATCTCTTTTCAGTTCTCATTCCCTGCTTGAGCCTCTGCGCTGACTCCAAGTCTAAACCAGCCTTCACCTTCCAAACCCCTTGACAACTGGCCCAGTCATTCCTATACATACGTGTGTGGTTCAGACATGGGTCTCTTTAAGGCCAGTCTTCTTACAATGCTATGTCTCTGTGCACTGGGGCTTTGGGCAAATGATTGGCCCTCTCTAAGCCTGTTTCCTTGTCTGTGAAAGAGGATAGTAGTACCCATGTGTGTAGCATATGGCACAGTCTGTGCCTGGCTTGTCGTACCTACTGATAATTACCTCTTCTAATTTTATTCACATGCCACATCTTACATTATGCTGTTCTCCTCTCATGGCACTAAAGAAACATATCTTAAATGCCTAATGCAGATAATGGAAGATAGTGAAGTCAGTCCTTTCTCCCCCGTTTTGCCTTTCAAATTCAACACAAGACAATTCCTTCACAAAACCATGAAACTAGAGATCATTTGGTTTGTCCTATTGAATTTTTTAAGTAGCAGTTTTATTGAGACCATTCACATACCGTAAAACTCACCCTTGTAAAATATACAATTTGGTGATTTTAGTATATTCACAGTTGGGCAGCCATCACCACCACTGCAATCCAGTTTTAAAACATTTTCATCACCCTCAAAAATAAATCTGTACCTATTAGCAGTTGCTCTTCATTTCTCCCTTCCGTCAGCACTTTGTGATCACTAATCCACTTGTGTCTCTACGGATTTGCTATTGCAGACATTTCTTATTAATGGTCTTATATGTGGTCTTTTGTGACTACTTTCACTTAGGGTGATGCTTTCAAGCTTCATATACACTGTAGCATGTATCAGCACTTTGTTCCTTCATTGCTGGTAATCCATTATATATGGATACAACACATTTCATTGATCCATTCATCTGTTGAGGGACATTTGGGTTGTTACCACTTTTTTTGTTGTTGGGTTTTTTTGGCTATGATGAATCACTAAACATTCCGGTATGGATTTTTGCATGAACATGTTTTTAGTTTTCTTATATCTGTACCAGGGAGTGGAATCGCTGGATCATATGGTTATTCTGTGTTTAACCTTTGAGTGACTTCCAAACTGTTTTCCAGTCCTATTCAAGTTGAAGATGAAAAACAGGGCTCAGAGAGCTTAAGTGGGTTGTGCAAGGTCACATGATAATAATGGCAGGTTTGCATATCTAGGAGTCCTATGAACCAGATTCTTGAAGCCTTTCCTGCCACATGGGCAGAGGTGACACCACCAGACTTTGAGGTTTTGTGGAAAGCAGGGAAGATTTTGTGGCAGGAACCTTTCTGTCACACACACTTGGGTTGGAATACAGAGTTCTTGCCATCAAGTGTCCTAGCTCATTCTTGCTTTTTTCTTAAAGAGTATATATTGGGGTGCCTGGGTGGCTCAGTGGGTTGGGCCTCTGCCTTTGGCTCAGGTCATGATCTCAGGGTCCTGGGATCAAGCCCCGCATTGGGCTCTCTGCTCAGCTTCTTTCTCTCTGCCTGCCTCTCTGCCTACCTGTGATCTCTGACTGTCGAATAAATATATATTAAAAAAAAAAATCTTGAAAAAAAATAAGGAGAATATAGCAGCAATCTGAGGGAAAGTTCCAAACCAGGCAAATTATAACTTCATTGTCACTTGTTCGAGAGAATTTAATTGGAAGTTCTTGAAGTTAGCCATTTAACATTTCCTCTTTTTTTTTTCATTCAAAAAATTCCAAATGTAGCATATACAAGTAGCATATACTAACCAGAAGTTAAGTTTCAAAAGTGAAAAATCTCATAAAAGTTCAACTTGTTCCTGAAAATGCCTAGAAAGTTTCTCACTAGATTCAAATATCCTGCCTCAAAAAAGCTGACATAGCATTGTTTAAGTTTTAGGATAAATTGCTGTTTCTTCTTCTTCTTCTTTTTTTTTTTATTGCTGTTTCTTCTGAATACGAAGTGTGATCATCAGCTTGGATTGAGGGATAAGTCAGCAAGTGAAAATTTAGTTAAAATGCTCTTGGAAGAAAATCTCTTAATTGCCCATTAACATCCAACGTACATGGCTTGTTATAAAGGCTTTATAGCATGTGTATAATGTATATATGAGTCATGCTCAGTATGTAATTCCATTGAGGGATCTTATTTAAAAAATTACTCTAGTGTTTGCTGCTTAGCATACTTGGTTATTTCTATGAAGGTTCCAACTTGGTGATTCTTATTTTTCACAGTTATCTTTGTAATTGGTTTTTCAATTTCTGTAACTCTTGCTTGTTCTATATTTTCCTTTGTCCTCATCTAATTCCTCAATTTCTTTGAGAAGGCAGATAAAGGTATCATCACACACTGGACAAGGCATTCAATTTCTTTTTAATGGTCACGAACCCATAAAACCACTTACCTTCCACAGATTTGGCCACCATCACTGGCTGTTTCAGGCTTGGTTGCATCCATTGCCCAATGGATCCTGGTATTAAATGCAGGAGGCATTTTAATAAGCAGTCTTACTTTTTTCTCTTGGGTCCATGTAGATGAAACGTGAAAACTATATTTTCAAGCACTGGATCTGCTCTCCACTTAAATCAAACTGGGCCGGGACGAAGGGAGCAGCAGATTCGAGTCTACCCTCTCATTCCAGGGCATCTGTTGGGAGAGTGGAGTGGCCCAGACGCTTGCACTGTTTACATTTTACCCCTTTGCATGTGGTTGAATTTTCCTAAGTTAGATATATCTGCTGTGGCTCTTTTTCTTTATCACACGGTGCACTCAACTTCATTTCCTTCCTTTAGCCATTATGAAATTGTAGCCTGTTGTGTTACCTTCAATTTGCTTTCGTGTGTGTTATGTGCTTGTTTTGTCTCTTCAGATTGAGTATAAGGCCTGGAAGGGAGAGGTACTGACTTTGGCTTCCTTTACTTCCTCAGAGTGCTGCGTGCACACTGGCTCAGGACTAAGACAAGGACAGACAAGGACAGTCTTGTCTAAGTAATTCCATAATTCTCTGGAACCCTTTGGCTCCTAACCTTGAGAAATAGTGGGCCTTCAGACAAGGAGGGTGGGTGGGAGATGCTGCCTATGCTCACAGCAGAGCCCTGTGAGAAGAGTGTAGGCTTTGAAATTCAACAGACCTGGGATCATCTGAACGGACCTTTTACAAAATCTCTCTGACCTGAACCTGTTTTCTTCATCTGTAAACCAGAATTGGTAGTGCTCACCCCATAATGATAATTAAAGCAAATACATGCGTGAAGCTCATTATGTACTAGGTACTCTTCTCGGCCCTTTATGGGGTCTTAACTCTAAGATAGAATCTGTTTTTCATCCTTATTTCGCAAATGAGGAAACCAAAGCACAGAGAGATTAAGCATCTTTTGCCCCAAATTACACAGGTAGGACTCATAAAGCCAATTCAGTTCTGGCATTCTAGCTTTAGAGTTCGTGCTCTTTGCCACTCACATTTGGTGGTACATAACAAACCCTGAAATAACGGTTTCTGTCATTGCTGTTATCACTTATTAATTTACCTTATAAATTAGAAGATGATTGACCCAATGTTTAGAATGTATTTTAAGGTCCTTTTATTTTGGAAAATAAAAATACTGACTAGATTTAATTCTTTGAGGACAGTGTCTTTTTTGGCTTTATCTTTATATAGCCAACACCTCTGATTATAATGAGGCCCTGGTAGGTACTCAGTAAATGTCTGTTGTCTGAGCAAAAGAACAGGAATCCTGTTGCGCTTGCTATCAGTAGACTTTTGCATGGCATTATGACTTCAGACATGCCACTAGGCCTCAGTCTTGTCCATGATAATTAGAAATATCATTACTGACTTCTTGAGCACAGTTTTGGGAATTGAGATATTTTAGGTGATTGGGATTTGTAGTGCTTGTACAAAATGTTCTCATTACTCCTTCTTTTAGTACACTGCTTCTAAATATTTTATTTTTCACATGGACCACAAAGTTTTCTGAGCCTAGAGATAAATGCATCCCCATTTTTGGTCAACATAGTTATGGATTGGCTATCTATTTCTTTCTCCTTATTATACTCTTTTAAAAACAGCTACCCTTGAGAAATGGCAGAAGCAGTTTTCCGTGCCCCAAAGCGGAAAAGAAGAGTGTATGAGAGTTACGAGTCTCCACTGCCCATCCCTTTTGGTCAGGATTGTGGGCCTAAGCAAGACTTCAAAGTGTTCACAGCAGAGCTGATAAACAACAATGTAATTGTGAGGAACGCAGAAGATATGGAGCAGCTCTATGGGAGAGTAAGTGTTAGAGGCTTTGACATGGCTGCTTTTGACAGCCCTGAGCCAGCTATCCTTTTTGCTTCCCCCCCATTCACTCCCAAAAGCAAACCATAATTGACCCATATTCTTTTCTTGCCATTCAGTCCAGTGTTGGAGAGAACTGTGCAATTTGAATCAGGTGCCCTGAAGCCATATGTTAATGAGGAAGACTACTCCCCCACCCTTGAACCCACATTGCAACAACATAGTAAGGTTGTGCGTTGGCCTTTCTTGTCTTTCATTTATAAAAGCCATGCATGTTCATAAAAATGTCAAGCAATTTACAGAAATCTAATGGGTAAAAAGTAAAAATTCCCCTCTCCCACTCCATCTCCAGAGGTAAACACAGAGTGGCGTGTTGTTCTGGCTCACGGACAGGTGAGGCTTCAGTATGTACTCTGGTTCCTTATTTGTGATCTCGTCTCTTTGGGGACCTCTTCTTAGATGAGAACAAGTTCTAGTTTTTGTGTTTTCTGCCCATGTTAGGTTCAGGTTGAGATTGGTAGCCTGCTTCCTCCCCACCTCACCCCCATCCATAGCCAGTTAATTACTGGAGGCTTTTTTTTTTTTTTTTTTTTAAGTAATCTCTACCCACAGCAGGGGGCTTGAACGCACAACCCTGAGCTCAAGAGTCACATGCTGTACCAACTGAGGCAGCCAGGTGCCCCAACTTGGGAGCATTTTTTAAATAGCTTTATTGAGGTATAATTTAGTGCCATAAAAATTCACTCATTGTAAATGTGTAATTCAGTGATTGTAGTAAATTCATAGAGTTGTGCAATCACCATTATGGTCCAGTTGTGGAGCATTCCCATCACCACAAAAAGTTCCCTTGTACCATTGCACTTAATCCCTGCTCCCACTTCCAGCCCATGTCACCCACTGATCTACTTCCTCTCTAAAATTTCTTTTCTAAACATTTTTATATAAAATACATAGGTTGTAGCCATCTTCTCAAAGTGGGATACAGCAGGTGGCACTGATCCTTGTGAAATGGGGCTCTAGGCTAAGGCCCTGCCTCTGCCTGTCCCATTGCCTTAAGCTTACCAAACCCAGACTGAAATCATTAGGTTAAGACACATAAGGTGTACTGAAAACTTACTAGAACTCTTCAAACAATCAGAGATAAATGCTAAGATCTTCATTAGTAATCATTAATCAGAAGGAAAATGTAAAGCTAAGAAAAATAGAATGAATCTCTTGTTAACTCAAATAGTTATTTTCCATCAGCTATAAAAATGGTAACTAAACATGAACTAACTTTGTTTTCTCTTTTCCTGGAAGGGTTATTTTGGAAAAGGTATCCTGTCTAGAAGCCGTCCAAACTTCACAATTTCAGATCCTAAGCTCATTGCTAAGTGGAAAGGTAAACGTGTACCTCATTCAGTTCGTTTGGCAAATTATTTTTTTTCATCTTTGATCTTACACTTTAGATTACATGGGAAAATTCTCTGGAGAAGATATAACATGCACAGTGGCAATTTTACTGCTAAAACTAGCAACTATAATAATTCTGATCAAGGTGAAAGGGTTCTGATGATTGGTGAAAATGAGTTTTAACTAATTTCTGGAGTTATCAAAAGTGTTATTCAGGCTTTTCTGTTGTTAAACATTGACTAGCAGGGTACTGTGCACTCAGAAGGTACTAGTAGTTTAAGTACCTCTTTACCTGTATGCAAAATGAGTTTTATATTTTTTATTTCTAGGATTAGAATTTAAACAATAACCATAACATTAATGAATTTGTTAAAACATTAACTAACGTGTGTAGTTCTTACTTGCTTGACTTGCCTTCTTTTAACTTAGAAATCTTTTACCTTAGTGTGTTTGTCCAAGGAAGTCTCATGGTGATTACATAACCAATGCCAGCAGATAAAAACATAATTGGGATTTTTTTGTAAGAAAAAATACAAATTAAACCTGCACTAAGATACCATTTTAGCAATCAGATTGGCAAAAATCCAAAAGTTCGACCATATTCTTCTTGGGGAGGCCCAGAGAAACACTCTTCACGCATCGCTGGTAGGAATGCAGGTGGTACAACTGTCACGGAGGGGAATTTAGCAATGGCTGGCAAAATTATTTATATGTATGCCTCCCCCCCCACAATCTTCCTCTCCCCCTAACCCCTAGCCACTCTAATATGTTCACTGTGTCTCTGAGGTTGCCCATTCTAGATACTTCATTGTAACTGGAATCATACATTGTGAAGCCATGTTGTAGCATTATCAGAACTTATCCTGAATAGTATCCCATTGTATGGGTATCCCATGTTTTGTTTATCCACTCATCCAAAGATGGGCATTTTGGGGTGTTCCCACGTTGGGTCTGTTATGAATAGTGCTGCTGTGAATGTTCATATACAGGGGTGTGTGTGTGTGTGTGTGTGTGTGTGTGTGTGTGAACATATATTTTCATTTCTCCTGGGCATATACCTAGGAGTGAACCTGCTGGCTCTTATGATAGTTCTGTTTTCATTTTTTAGCAAATGCCAAACAGTTTTCCACAATATCTGCCCCCTGTTATATTCCTACCAGCAGTACACAAAGTTCCTAATTCTTCCACTTGTTATCTTCTGGGTTTTGATTTTTTTTGTCTGTTTTTTTTGATAGCCATCTTGGTGAGTGTGAAGTGATAAAAATTTTTAATGTTAATAAAGTCCAGTTTATCTGTTTTTTTCTTTCATTACCTATGGTTTTGGTGTCATATTTAGAAAACCATTGCCAAATCCAAGCTGATGCAGATTCTCCCCTGTGTTTTCTTCTAAGAGTTTTATATTTTCAGCTCTTAAACTTAGGTCTCTGATCCACTTTGAGTTAATTTTTGTGTATGATATAAAGTAGGGGTCCAGTGTTTCGCCCGTGGATATCTAGCATTTGCTTTTAACCCAGCAATTCCATTTCTAGGAATTTATCTGAAAGATAGACTGGCAAAAATATGAAAAGAAATTGCACGAGGCTATTCATTGCAAACTGTTTCTTATATTAAAGACTGGAAACGACCCAAATGTCCAGTATGAGGGGACTGGTCAATTAACACTGTACTGCATTCATACAATGAAGTACCATGGAGCTGAGCTAAGAATGAGAGATAACTGGGATGTGTTCCTAAGCAAAGAAAGCACAGTAAGGGGGAGTCTGCATAGTATGCCATGGTTTATCTGAAGGTGGGGGGATATAAATACATTTTTGAAATTTAAGGAAGGATAAATCACGGATTTTTTTTAATGCCTATGGTGGAGGGACGGGACAGGATGGAGAAAGAGGTGCAACTTTATAGATTTAACTTTGGAACCTTGTAAATGTGTTACATGATTACAAAACAAAGTTAAATTTTAAAAAGTAATTAAAAAAAAAAGCAGAATCTATATATCAAGTTGGTGGTATAGCCATGGAAGAAAACTATTTTGAGTGACTGTAGAACATGGTGACTTGAGGTTCAATCCTAATAGGATAGACTTTGTGTCAGTTATCTGTTGGCACAGTGTTGTTTAACCAGTGGCTTTCAGCAGCATCCAAATTGCTGACAAGTCTATAGGTTTGCTGGGTAGGTGTGCTGATCTGGGCTGGATATACTCATCCAGCTGGTTAGTTATAGAGATCAGCTGGCTGCTCTGATGGATTTAGTCCAATAATGGATTGAGCTGGACTTACTAGTGTCTGGTTGTCTGTTGGTTGGCTGTCAACTGGTCTAGGATGGTCTCAACTGGGATGAGAGGCAGGGGGCACCATATATGTCATTCTTTTAGCAGGCTAGCCCAGGCATGTTCTCATGGTCATGGTGGAGGGTCACAAGCAAGCCCAGCATGCCGGTGCTTTTTGGACCTCTCCTCACGGCATGTTTGCTGTTACTCCAACTTGTCTAGAGTCAAGGTGTTTGGCAGGTGGAAGACCTGAAGAGCTGGGGCCATCAGTGCAATCAACCTGCCCTATACTCTAAAGAAAGGAAGAGTTGCAAAATAATCTTCACATTACTTTCAGCAATTATTTTATAGGTGATAGCAATCATACAACTGACTGTTGTATGGGTATTGTGTAGAAAAGCACATGATTAGTTATGTTGGTGTGGTTGAGAGCCAGGATTTTCACAATAAACATCTATACCAGGAAGCAAAGAAGATTATCAAAAAGTGCTAGGCTTGTTTCAAAGGAGGCTCCCCAGACCAAAGAGGGAAACATTTGAACATCAATGAGAATAATGCTATAGGGGCACCTGGGTGGCTTAGTCGGTTTTAGTGTCCAACACTTGATTGTGGTTCAGGCTGTGATCTCAGGGTCGTGAAATTGAGCCCCACATCAGGCTCTGTGCTGAGCATGGAGCCTGCTTCAGATTCTCTCTCTCTCTCTCTTGCTAAAAACAAACAAAAAGAATTAATAATATAATTTGTTTTAAAATCCAGTCATTGGTAATAATATCTCAAAAAGACTCTTGAATCTTTTAATTTTTGCTAGTACATACTGATACATTCCAGGAGAAATTCTCGGTTCACTTGTGGAGGATTCACCATTTTGGAAATCGGTAAACATGGACTGGTTCTTGGGGTCACTAAGTAGTGAGGGATTTCTCTCTATAGAAGATTCCTGCTAATAAACAAGAAATAATGGGATTAGAATAGCACCATTTTGCATCCTCTAATAAAGCATTGATCACCAGTGGTGTTAATGACATACAAAGAGACAACACATTTTTTTGTCTTGTGAGGGAAACACACAGCACCACCCATGAAGTAGGCTGCCCAAGATACTGAGCCTGAATCTGGTCAAGCCTCTAGTTGCACTGATTTACAGGAAACAGGGTCAAAGAATGCGTTAATTAAGCCAGTGCTGCTCAAAGTACTAAAGTGTCACAAGACAAGTCCTTTGCACCAGAATGGAAATAGATCCCCTACTATTTAGCTGTTTACCTATGGCTTCCCTCTCTGTGAACATCAGGCTGTGAAAACAAGGGGAGCTGAACTAAGCAATGTGTTGAGTGAGGCAGTTGCTTAAAGGTTGGTGCAGTCTCTTCTTGGACCGTCCATGAGTAATTCAAGGACAGTACTGGGCCTGTGACCTTTGATGAGCCACCGTGTTTACAGCACAATAGGGACGTGATCCTCTGAGGCCAGACCAGGGGGAAGCTGTACAGGACAGAAGACCCAATTGCTTCAGTAAGTAAATCACAGGGAAGAAAAACATGTGGGGTCACATATATTAGAATCAACTTCAGATTTATCAGTCAGTTGTAACGTATAGGCCTTAGATGGATTTTGAGTCTGATTTTCAAAAATTGTGACAGTCCATAGATTTTGGATGAGGCTAAGGAATTAATAGTAATTTTTAAAAGTAATAATAGTATTGCAATTATTTTTCCAATTTTTATAATTTTTTTAAGTAAGCTGTATGCTCCTGTGGGACTTGAACTCACAGCCTCAAGTTCGAGTCACATGCTCTACCAACTGAGCCAGCCAACGCCCCCAATTTTTTTATACAAGGTTTTTTGTTTTTTTGTTGGTTTTTTTTTTCATTTTTTTAAAGTCTTTAGAGAAATACATAAGCGCTACTTAGAGATGCTGTGATAGGATGTGAGGGATCTTTTTCAGAATAATCTGGAGACAGGAGAATGAACAGAAGAACAAATGAAGCAAGACTGGCCATGAGTTAATTGTTAAAGCTGAGGGATGGCAATGTGGGAATTTATTATACTATTCTCCTTACTTTTGTATGTCTGAAAACTTTTTTCATTTTTTCAAAAAGCGAGGGAAAAAAGTGGGGGAAAAAATAGCATAATGACTCCCACCATCAAGCTTCAGCAGTTACGAATATTTGGCCAGAAACCTAGAAAGCTTTCAATAGTATGATGATCTTAACAATTGAGAATCTTCTCTTGATCTGTGTAGGAACTGAATTTTAGACAGTAATAGAAATTTGAAGGAAAGGAATTTATGCCAAGGAATCAGAAATGAAGCTTGTGGACTGCCCTGAAGAAGTAAATCTCAAATGTCCATTTTAGGAGGGTCTTCAAATTCTGGCTTCAGCCTCATCTTCCACCCTCTCTCTGCACTCTCTTCTACTTGTTAGCACTACAGCCACCTTGGGCTGCTTGCCATTCCATGGACCTGCCATGCATTTACTCTCTCAGCCTCTGCATGGCTTCCCCTGCCTCCTTCCCTCTGGTCTGCCTGGTGAACCCTCATTCACTCTTCAGAGCCCAGCTCAGCTACTCCTCCTCCTTGGTGTTTTTTACTAAGCCTTTCAGGTAAAGTGAGCTACTTCCTTTATACTCCTTTTACTCTTCAGCTTGGGTTAGAATCAGTCATTTCTGGTCTGTCTCCCCAACTGGGCTGTATCTCAAGAAGAGAGGATTTACTTTCTTACTTCTATGTCTCTAGTGCTTGGCACATGGATGACTATCAGTAATACATGCTAAATTGTCATTTTTATTAAATTTACCAGAGGAGGGAGGTCATGACACAGCGAAAACTGACAAATTCCTAAGGAGGTAGGAGTGTGTGAACTCCTAGTGTTTTTAAAGCTGATGATCATCTATTCCAAGCCTTTAATGCCCTGGGCAGAAGGCTGAGTTTGGGTAAGGGGAAACGATTTGCTCAAAGGCAGAGTGGAGGAGGATGAGGACTAAAACCCACACCATCAGGTGATCAGTAAATAATACTGAAGGTGGAAAGGCTCAACCAGCCAGATACCCAGAGCTAGAACCCAGAACTCCCAGGTCCACACCCAGCACCAACACTGCCATGAAATTCACTTCATCAACCCTTTTTGTAGGTACATGTGGGGCACTTTGACTGAAGATGCCTTATGGAGCATGGGAAAATGGCAAAGTGCATAACTTTAGGGCCTCGATATTCTCATCCAAAAGTTCAGAGGTGGCAGAGGGGTTTCCTCTTGCATGCCATTGCTGCCGTGCTGCAGTGTTGAGAAGGATTTCAGGGTCACATCTGGGCACAGCAAGAGCGCTGTGATCAGTCAGCATTGCCTTCCCGTGGGTTCAGGGAATGATGGCATATAAAGCACGCCATTGCGGGTTGGGCAAGATTAGCCTTCTAAATGTGTGATTTTGTGATTCTTGAAATTCTCTTTGTTTTTCTGGATTTTCAATGTGGTTTTTACCTTTAGGAAAATTTGTCTGAACAGAACTTTTTTGTTGTTACAGATATGAAGACAGACATGCCTATAATCACGTCAAAGAAGTAAGTCATGATGGCCTTAGTTTAAGTCAGAATTATGGCTTAAGTCAGATCTGTTTGTAGATAGCCTTTCCAGTGTGGTAGGTCATGCCTTGTTTTTTTGGCCTTTTTTTTTTTTTTTCCTTTGGTAGTAGGTGTGTCCTTGAAAATTATGTCTGAACTTAATGTGGATCAAATCATATTTGAAATGCACTAAGTTAATTTTTTTAAATAATCCTAATCCAAATCCTTTGCCACTTCCAAAATATGAACAAGTGTCCTCTACTGTGTATGTCTTTAAGTGCTAGGATGTTTACACTTAGGTCTAGAACTCACCTCTTCCCTATCCTCTTTCCTCACTCTACACTTGCAGGGTGAGAGAAAGGCTTCTATGGAAGCTCTACCTCATCTACTCATACAATCACAATTCCTTCCTGTGGCTTTTCTTTACGCTCTCCCATTTCCCGGAACTTCTCTTCTTGACCCCCCCAAGCACGCATGCTTCCTGGCTGTTGCCGCCCATCCCATGATCCAGCCTACATGTCACTCTCTTGGAGGTTTTCTTGTCCCCACCACCCTCCCTTGGTGGGGCTGGTTCTTCCAGCTCCCACACAGTCTGCCTTGACGCCTCTCGCTATGCCGGCTGTCATACACCAGGATTTAGACTGTCAGTTCCTGGAGAGCAGGGACCAGGCCTGCTTCCTCTCTGCAGCCCCAACACAGAGTGGTCCCTTGGTGGGATTTTGTGGACTAAACGTTCATTCATTTAAATCCTCATTGTCCCTGAGAGGCAGCTCCAGTGGTGTCTCTTCTGTAAGCCTTCTAAAAATATTGAAGCCCCAGTGGTTTTTCTTTTTGCTTCTAGCACATACTGGCAGAATCTGACAGCTCCTATTCAGTTATGTGCTTGGTAACCCCATGGCCAGAGGAGTGGCCAGGGGCAATGACCCCAGGGAGATCTCAGTGGCTGCTCTGGCTATACCTGCAGGCTGGGTGTGGGGGTAGGGTTCCAGTCTGTGGGAGGGGCCTACTGAGAACCTGGCAAAGCCCCCATCCCAGGAGCAGCTGCAGGAAAGCTGCTGCGGTCAACACTAGGACTCAGAAACAGAACAGAAGCCTGCCCCTCAGAACTGCATCCTGGGGGCGCCTGGGTGGCTCAGTGGGTTGAGCCTCTGCCTTCAGCTCAGGTTATGATTCAGGGTCCTGGGATCGAGCCCCGAATCGGGCTCTCTGCTCAGCGGGGAGCCTGCTTCCCACCCTCTCTCTGCCTGCTTGTGATTTCTGTCAAATAAATAAATAAAATCTTTAAAAAAAAAAAAAAAAAACAACTGCATCCTGATCGGGCTGGCAGTGGGCATGACATGGCATCAAGCCAGTTTGAGTATGTGAGGTTCTGGGTGGGGGAGATTGTCGCCTGGCTGAAGTTATCCCTTTGTCAGCTCTGCAGTAATAACATTCCAAGCGTTTTATTGATCCTTGTATTAGTTCCCTAGGGCTACCATAGCTCAAAAGAACAGAAATTTAATCACATACCTCTGGAGACCAGAAGTCTAAAATCAGCGTATCAGCTGAGCTGTGCTCCTTCAGAAGGCTATAAAGGAGGATCCTCCCATCTTCCATGCCTGGTGTGAGCCTCTGGTGGTAGCCAGCAATCTTTGACATTCCTTGGCTTATAGATGCATCTCTCTAGGCTCTTCCTCCATTCTCACATGGAGCTCTCCCTTGTGTATGTCTATGTGTCTCTGTCCAAATTTCCCTCTTCTTTCCTACAAGGAAACCGGCCAGTATAACTTCATCTTTACTTGGTTACATCTGCAAAGACAGTGTTTCCAGAGAAGGTCAGATTCACAGGTGCCAGGGGTTAGGACTTAACCATATCTGACAGTTCTGTCAGAAAATTATGCCCCCCCATCACTTGATTAATTATTTGGCCATAATAATTGCAGTTGAAATCTAAATTGTTAAGTATTAAAAGAAATGGGTTCATTTTTATATTTTTAGGTTAATTTTCCAGCTTAAGTGCTTGTTGTAATTGTTTCTTTACTCTTCCCTCTGAAACTCTGATCCCCTTTCTCAAGTGAATTCACTCTGATTGGCTGTTTCCCAACAATAGTTGTCCATGGGTGATGAGAACCTTCCATGTAATCCTCTCTGAAGGTGAGTGTCCAGACCCTTGGGTGATGCCCTAGGGGACTGAAGTATGTAGGTTGTGTCCTCGAAGGGCCAGTCATGAGGGAGGTGTTGCCCCCCTCCCCATTTGTAGTCCTCTGTTCAGCCAGCGTTTACTGCAGGTGCCTGAGTGTTGGGTGTCGCGTAGGTGCTACAGATACAAGAGGAGGAAAAAATTTCATCCCTATTCTCAAGGGATTTACCGTCAAGTGGGAGCAGAAGAGAAGTAAACGATTGGACTGTTCTGTAATAAACATTGCAGGGAGGTATTACTATGATCACTGTCATAGCTAACAGGTACCGGCTCTCTGACAGTGCTAGCTATCAGTCTGGATGCTTTACTTGACCATCTCAGTTCATCTTCTCGAGAAGCCTTTGAGGTAGGCATAGTCATATCCACTCATTGTATCAGCTCAGACGAGGCAGTTCAGCTTCAGAGCCTCCAAGGAGCTGACACAGGGAGAACAATAACGTGGTTTTACATGCTGGCGTTTCTTGGACATATTCCATAAACGAGGTCCTGTGCTGATAACACATTTGTGGACTGTCCCCTAAAGTCCTCTCATCACCCCTAGAGGTAGGTCCTGTTATCTGACAGATGAGGAAACGCAACCAGAGGAGGTTACATAACTTGTGTAAGGGCAGTACTTGGACCCAAGCAGACTGCCTCAAAACTGTTTTGCTGTGAATTTCCAATGACAGATAGACATTCATCTGTAAGTGGGGGAGAGGGGCGTTCACCGTACCAATGGAAGAGTGTGTTCAAGGCCATAGAGACAGAAGAAGCAGAGGCGTATTCAGATGCTACACCCTTGTGCAGTCGGGTGGCCCTGAAGTGGGTTTGCTTTTCACCAGTCTCTTCATTGCTGCTAATCATAGCTGCCACCTTTTCCCCCTGCCACTCTCTCCCTTATGTCGCCTGACTTTTACTTTTCTCTTCCTGCTGCTTCTCCAGCAGTGTCCGGGGTTAATCGCAGCAGGACTTGGCTTTTTCAGGCATTGTCAGCCAATGAGAAGACACCTGCTCTGTGACTCATATGCCATATGTCTTAGTCATTTGTGTATCTGGCTTGTTTGCATCACCAGTCTTGCTCAGAGGCTTTCTCCCACATGCTTTTGCAGCCACGCTCTCATTTGAGCTTCCACAAAATGAGCATCTGAGGTCATAATGAGGCAGGAATGCAGGTGTGATTTTGGTTTTTTGCAGAAGAGCAAACAGTTATAGGGGTGCTAAGTGCTTTAGCTCGGAATCACATGAAAGAGCCAACTCCCGAACCGAGATCTGGTGCAGCACTTGTCCCCACAGAGCTGTCCCGCTCTCAAAAAGCAGTTAATTAAGTTGTACACTTCCATTCATTAAAAATGTTATTTGTGTTTTGTAATGTAATATGTGTAAGTCAAAATGATTTTATTTTTCAAGTCTCCCCCTAAAAAGCCCACAAGCATATAGCAACAAATATTTATAGAATACTTACTGTGTGCTGAGCATTGTCCGTGTCTTGTCTCCTTTAATCCTTGCAACAAATCCATCATGTCAGTATGGTTCACTCCTGGTTTACAGAGGAGGAGCTGAGCCTTTCAAGGGTCGGGTAGCTAGTACGGGAACATGATGGAATGAGAGTTTGAACTCGTATCTGCCTTGACCACCCTATTGCAGAGATCAGAGCCTCTCTCCTTCTCTGCGTGCTCTTTCTCTCTCTCAAGTTCAGATCTTTTGCTCAAAGGGGCAATAGTTGAACCTTACATCAGTGGTTCTTTCACATATTTTGAGTCAAGGAATTTGATGAAAGTTGGGGATCCCTTCCCCAGAAAGATATGTTGACACAAAAATTTGTGTTCAAATAAAGGAGATTCATAAATCCACAAAGCCTATCAAGCCAGTACTATAGGTGGCACGAAGAGCAAAGATTCTTTTTGAGATCTCTAAAATGAAAGTTCTTTTAACTGTATGCAACAGTGGCCATACTTTTCACACAGGTGAGAAGACACCCTGCCATTGTATGAGCAGCTACATTTTTTATTCTGATTATTAATAGTAATACATAACCCCTTTTTGCAGTAGTTGTCTCGTTACCCCTACTTACAGGTGGGGGAACAACCACAGAGAAGTTAAGTAATAGGTTTTGTCACGCATTTATAAGTCAAAGAGTCTGGCTAATGTTCATGCATACAATTGTGGTGTCTACCCTGCTTCTTCTTAGATGCAGGTGTAGCCTTGCTAGGTTTTACTCTTTAAATCTAAGATACAGTTCCCAGTATATAGGAAGGTGTACTCATCCCTATGTAGGATAGACAGGGTGTGGACAGTTTGGCGATTCCTCTGGGGAATCAGGGTTAAGCAGCCACAAATCTTAAAATATAGCAGAGGCCAGCTTCCTTGTTCAGTTGCGTACGAGATGCCACAGTTTACAAACTGTGACATATTCAGCCATCCATATGCAAAGCAAAATACTTAAGGTGAAGAGTAAAATTACCTCTGTCTTCCCACAAACCATGTGGTCGTAGGTGGTTTCCAGGCCAACGGTTGTAGGTAGAGGCAAAAAGTGCTTGAGTTAGGGCACCTGGGTGGTCAGATGGTTAAGTGTCTACCTTCAACTCAGGTCATGGTCCCAGGGTCCTGGGATCTAGGCCCTCATAGGGCTCCCAGCTTAGCTGGGAATTGCTTCTACCTCTTCTTCTGTTCCCCGGCTTGTGCTTTTTCGCTGTCAAATAAATAAATAAAATCTAGGAAAAAGAAAAAAAGTGCTGGAGTTTCACATTGCCTTTAGCTCCCGCTGATGAGATTTCCAGTATGGCAGCCTGACTCTGCGTGGAGGCATCGCAGCAGCAGCATCAGGCCGGGCGTCTCACTGGGGCAGAACCCTATTTTCTCACCTGTGACTTTTTATAACGTGGAAAGTGTTCGGGGTTGCCTTTACATTTGAGGAACGAAGCAGATATTCCTCATCAAACTGTACCTCAAAAGTTATTATGAGAGAAAGCGCCCTTTCTGCTAGGATGCTTGGCCATATGTATCCTTTCTTGCCGTACGCAGTGAAGACCTTAGTAGGTACTGTGAAAAATATTTACTGAAGTTCTCATTTTGCATTCCAGTGCCGAGCAAAGACTCTGTATACTGTGAGTGGGATATTTTTCTGAAAATGTTGTGATATCCAAAATTGAGAATAATGTAAAGGAAATCCTGAGAGAACATAGCCATATTCTCTTTGTAGTCACCTAAATCATTTGGCCAACCAGTTTTAAATTACATACATATTCATACTTGGTCAAACTGGAGTCAAGTTTTTTTTTCAAAGTAAGAAAATTAAATCAAGCTCTAATCAAAACAAAAATAACACATGCTTATTGCAGAACAGTTAGAAAACACACACACAAAAAAAGTATAAAGAAAACATTTACCTATAGCCCTCTACTGAGAAAAACTGCTATAAACGCTTTGACATGCTATGAACCCATCTCTTCTGCATGCCGTGTTGTGTTTTGAATATTGAAATTCAAGCGCTACTAACAGTATTTGCATCTTGCAGGTATCAGCATCGTGTGGAGTGGGCCGCAGAGCTCATGCGAGGACAAGGGCAGGAGGAGAGTACAGTGCAGAGAATCCTCCAGGATTATACAAAACCACTCGAGCATCCTGGTATAAAAAGGAAAGAAGGTCAATGGCACGATGAGAACTCTGAAACGACTTCCAAAATGGAAGTTACCGCAGATAGAGAGGAACCTTCTGTGATGAATGGGGACTCAGGAAAGTCAGTTGACATGGACGGTCCCAGCAAGCCATCAGACAACCTGCAGCAGGGCCCTGGGCCTGACCCGCTCGCTCCCAACGGCGTGGGTGAACCTGTGGCGGAGGTGGCCAAGCCACAGCACCGCCTCCTGCCCCGAGTTTCTTGTGGCAAAGAAGGTGTCCTCCTCCCCCTATCTGACACTCAGCCTGGAGACGGGAGCCAACCCACAGGTCTCTGTGCCGGCGAGAGGGTGCCTGGTGATGAGTACGTGCTGGTGGAGGAAGATGTGTATGATGAGAGCGAGAAGGAATGTGCCCCAAGTGAAGAAGTAAGTATGGCCGGCCTTGAACAACAGGGGTTCAGACTGCATGAAACCACTTATACACACAAGGATTGGTGTGCAGGCTTTTGTTTTTTTGGTTTTGGGGGCTTTTTTTGATAAATACAGTACAATACTGTAAATGTATTTTCTCTGCCATGTGACTTTTTAAAATATTTTTTTCTCTAGCTTTATTATAAGAATGCAGCATATAACACATATGTAAAATACATGATAATCAGCCATTTATAATTGTTGGTAAGGCTTCCAGTCAACAGTAGGCTATTAGTAGTTAATTTTGGGGGGAGTCAGAGATTATATATAGATTTTCTGTGGCTGGAAGTCAGATCCCCTAGCCCCTGTGTTGTCCAAAGATCAACTGAAGAAGAAAATTACTCACTTCCTCCAGAGCCATAAGTTTCTGGCCCATAGCAGATGTGGGCTAACCAGGATGCCCCTTACTCAGAAATGGTAACAGGCCCATATTAAGTGCCCAGGGCATGTGAGAGGTGGTGAGACCCTCTGGGAGAACCAGCAGGCACTGGATCCCAGCCCTGGTGGCCCAGTAGCTGTGAGAGTTATTTCTCCTAAAACCTCAAAGTTTGTGAATAACTTAACTTTAAAAAAAAAAGAAAGTGCAAATTAAAGCATGTATAATAATATTCTTTCCCTTGGGTGGGAAAAAAAGAAGTGCTGTAGTAATTACACATAGTCTTGAGTGCAGCTGTGGTGCAGGGAGTCTCGGGTATGGAGGTCAGCCAGCACAGGAGAAACACTGGAAAGCTCAAGAGCACCCCCCTGCCCCCTACCGAGGGATGCATAGTCAGAGTCGGTTGCCCTAGAATTATCTGTAATAGCTAAAATGAGCAAATCTAATGGCTAAGTTGTATGTGAAACACCTGTTTGAAGAAATTTTATCTAGCCTTTAGAATAGGGTTAATGGAGCCTGATAAGCTAGGCCCACCCTTCTGAGTTGCAAGTGGGTGAAAAGAAGTACTTAAATTTGACCAAGGAAAAGATCACAACCGTGGGAAAATTTCATGGGGAACATAGAGAGGAAACAAATCAAAATATTAATAATAGAAACCTAAAACTTCTTTTTCCACATCATAATAAAAAAATATTTTTAACAGTATTAATCCAATAAATGTAAATCTGTGAAATTTGTAAGAAAAATGTTTTAAAATGCAATCCGCTCTATGTAATATGTAGTGCTTCTGTTTGTTCTGTATGTATTTTATTTCTTTTCAGTTGGCACCAAAAAGGAGATTAGTATGCAGAAGAAATCCATATAGGATCTTGGAGTATTTGCAGCTTAGCTTAGAAGAGGTATGTTTCCTGCGTGTTACCTTTTCAGCTCTTGGTCTCAGGGCCCGGACAACCTGTAATGGGGTCCACTTGTAAATGCAATTCTGTATGTAATTCAGTAACTATATAATTCAGTAACTGAGAATTCAGTAACTGAACTTTACAAATAGGTATTGTAATAACTATAGGCACCTTCCAAAGTAGGTCTGCCTAAATTTCACTCCTTAACCTTCATTTCATCAGGTCTAAGATCTTGGGGGTCCTTCCTATATCATGAGATACAGCTTATATACCATACCATTCACCCATTTAAAGTGTACAGTTCATGGTTTTTAGTGTTTCATAGTTTCACCAGCTTTTAATAAGCCAAGATGTGTGCTTCAAGTCATGTCATGGCTGCTAATTATATAAATGGATTCTAGGTATTTCCTTCTGCAAAATTACTAATACATGTCTCTTAATGGAATAGCTACATTCCCAAAAGTTAGCTAAAAGTGACTTTCTAAAAACAGCATCATAAATTTTCCCTCTGATTTGGAGTTCCTCTATCCTGTGTTCATTTGTTCAGTCCCTCCTCCTTTGCTTATGTTTACACTGTGCACAGAAATGTCCTTTTTGCCCTGGAGAACTGCACCCCTTCCTCAATCTCATGTGCTTCCTCTCCCAGAATGCTCCTGCTTGTCTTGGATAGCTCTCGCAGTCGCTAGCACTGTTCTTGGTAGAGATGAAGGTCTCAGGAAGTGCTTGTTGAATGTGTCCACATTGGTAACTTTGTGGGTGCATTCACAGAGAAGTAGTTGTATCTCCATGTTTTCTGGATTTCCTCGTCTATACTTCTTTCCTTGCAATGAGACCAAACAGACTGTGGGACCCAGGAATGATGTTTGGAATTATTTACTACGTCTCCTTTTTCTACAAATGCACCAGCTGAATCTGTTGTAGAAGACAGTAACCACTAGCCATGTGTGACTATTTAATTTAAAAGTGAGCGAAATGCAGAATTCTGTTTCTCAGTTGTGCCAGCTACATTTCAAACACTCAGCAGCCACAGGAGGATAGTGGTGACTGTATTGGACAGCACAGGTGTAGAACATTGTCACCATAGGAAGTTCTGCTGGACAACACTGTAGATTCCCCTTCTCTAGGTGCTTGAGCTCTCTGGGCCTTGATTTCTTCTCTGTATAATGAGGGTTGTTATGTAATGCCTTGTTCATAAGATCTTCTGGGAATTAACTACACCATGTAATGGGCTCAGCACAGTGCCTGATACATAGTAAGTGCTCAGTAAGCGTTAGTGCCTGCTTTTCTTGTTGTTATCATCATTATTAAATTACTTGTAAAAGCTATTAAGTAGCTAGTTAGAACCTTTTCTTTTGCAATCAGTATTTTGCAGAAATGTTCACTGGGTACTTACTCTGTGCTGGGCACTGGGCTAAGTACTAACAATACAGAAATAAACAGAATATGGCTCTGGTCCTAAAGATGGCCCAGAAATAATTACATTCCATATGGTCTGTAGATTGTGCCAGTGTTGCTTCTCTGGTATCCTTGTACCCAATGTCTGATGTCTATCAAGTGCTTAATAATTTCATTTGTTAAATGGGGGCATTCAGGGTGTGGAATTTGCACAGAAACTGGTGGAGTCCAAAAGGACGTGAACTAGCTGGAAAGCCTTCATGGAGTTGGTGATATCTGTAGATGTGAAAAGATAAATAATGTATTGCCATTTGGACACTGGACAGCATAGACTCCTTCATGCAGCTCAGCCCTGGATGACAACATAGGAGGGCTAGATCATGAGGGCGTATCTACAAGTATCGACCAGGGTTCTGACCCGGTCTTGGCAGTGCTGGGGCACTGCAGTGGCCATGTCAGGGAAGGGCAGGTACTGGAGCCGGCATCAGTAGGAGACTGCTGGAGGGTTGAGGAGGAGGCGGCAGCAATAGGCAGAGAGGGCATTTGGTGTCAGCCTCGCTGTTCCAGGAGGTGACTGGTTGTGTTCCAGGCGATGCTTTTTACTGACAAAAAAAGGTGTCACTGTCTGCTGCTGTCTCCCAAACACTCCTGAAGAAAGACAAGAGTAATGGGAGGTAGATGAGGTTGCTCTGCATTCTTGGAAGCTGCTTGGTTCCTGAGGACATTCCACAGAGGTCTTGCAGTTTTCGGGGAATGTGCGATTAAACCTCGCTCTGCCTCAGTTCTGTTTTGGCAGATTGCCTCTGAATGAATCACCCATGTTTGGTGCACCACTTATACAGTTTAATGTGTTTCCATAAATGTCCATCAGGAATACAGGCAGCCCTTCTCTGGTGATTCAGAGCAGTTTTTTCTAGAGCTTAGGAATGATAATACCACAGCTGACTTAAAGATCTGTCTCTTAGAGATCTGTTACTGAGAACTGTTTTTCCATTATAACACTTTGGGACCCAGCTAGATTTAGTGAAGACATTAAAACCATCATTAAACTCTTCGCTCCACTTTTGCTTTGATAGTAAAGCTTACTAATGAGATCTCAAGGGACATAATCACCTACCTCCCCAGACTTCCCCCCGTCTTCTGATGATTTAATTCTAAATAAAGCCAACTCAGTTGAATTAAGATCCATTCCATCTGTAATAAGTGCCTATGAGCAGTTTGTGTACATTCATAAAAACCATTTATTTTAGGCCAATAAATATTAATGAGGCATTGGTTTCATCAGTTCTTAGGAACATTTGTTTACTGATAATGGAAAGTTTCTGAAGAACTTAAATTCTAACAAATACTGGGAAGGAGTCTCTTGCTTGGCAAGGAGAGGCTTGAACTTTTCCAGGCTACAGTATCTAAACAGTTTTTTATAAAAGGAGGGGAAACTAAAATGAATTGAGCAGTTAGGTACTTTGCATAGACTTTAAAATTTTTATGAGACTTCATCTCATTAAATCTTTTTTTTTTTAAGATTTTATTTATTTATTTGACAAAGATCACAAGTAGGCAGAGAGGCAGGCAGAGAGAGGAGGAAGCAGGCTCCCTGCTAAGCAGAGAGCCCAATGCGGCGCTCGATCCCAGGACCCTGAGATCATGACCTGAGCTGAAGGCAGAGGCTTAACCCACTGAGCCACCCAGGTGCCCCTCATTAAATCTTTAATAAGGCGTTTTCAGCCCCATTTTGTCAGTGAGGAAGGAGAGCTTAAGTGATACTTGCAGGGGGCTTGCTGTTAATGAAGATTTCAGCCCAGCTCTGCCACATCCCAGAGTTCATCCTCCCTGTTTTCCCGTTCTGAACCAAGAAGTGATGGCTGGGAGACGTCGAAAGGAGAAGCACTTGACTGTTGGAGAACCCAGGTTCGTCCCCTCCAGGCAACTTCTGACCACCATTTGTGTGCATCCAAGAAACAGTGGTACTCTGCGTTAGAGAGTGGTGTGCCACAGGAAGACCAAAGGTCAAAGTAAGATTGTCGGACACCTGGGAAGGCTGTCAGGTAGCTGCAAGGGGCTGTGGGGCATGCAGCATCCACATGAGGAGAAAGGAGCTGGAGAGCCAGGCCTGCAAAGACCTGCTCTCGTTGACTCCGGCAGTGTCATAAACGGGGTCGATTCTCTCAGCACAGGCACAGAGCAAACGCCATGTGTTAGACCCTCTCCTGAGCCAGGGGAACAGCAGGCAGAGTTTCTGCTCTCACAGAGTTGACTTTTGAGCTGGAGAGACGCATATAAGAAAGATCTTTTCAGACAAATGTGTTCTGGGTTGCCGGGGTGGCTCAGTGGGTTAAGCCTCTGCCTTCCGCTCAGGTCATGATCTCAGGGTTCTGGGATCGAGCCCCACGTCAGGTCCTCTGCTCAGTGAGGAGCCTGCTTCCCCCCTCTCTCTGCCTGCCTCTCTGCCTACTTGTGATCTCTCTCTGTCAAATAAATAAATAAAATCTTTTAAAAAAATAAGTGTGTTTTGAAGAAGATGATCAGGATGGGGGTTGCTTAACAAGGGTGGAGGGGAAGACCTCTCCAAGAAGTGACGTTTGCGTCTGGGGCAGAATGTGCCAGATACTGGAGTAGCACTTACAAAGGTAAAGGCAAGAATGAGCTTGCTGTGTTCAGGGGCAGACATGGAGCCAACATGACCAGAAGGAGTAGTGGTCAGATCTCCAAGGAACTGGAGGCTGTGGGAAGCAACATGCCATAAAGCCATTTGGAGGGTTTTAGACGTGGGAGCCACGTGACCTTCATGTGGGGAAAAGATGACTCCAGCTACTATGGAGAATGCATGGAGCAGAAAGGCCTTTGAGAAGTCCAGGCAGGGAGTGGCGGCTGGGACCCAGAGAAGCGGGGTCACCTGCATCTTTAGAGAAGCTCTAGGTTTAGATCAGAGTGGAACTAAAGTGGTAGTTCTCAAGCCACTTTACTCTATTAAAAATTATTGACGATCCCAGGAACATCTTTATGTGGGTTATATCTGTCACTGTTTGCCAAACTAAATTAAAACACAATTTTAAAATTTGTTCTTTAATTCATTTTAAGATAATGATGATAAATCCTTTATACATTAACATAAAATTTTATGAAAAATAACTACATTCTTATAAAAACAGAACAAATTCAGTGAGAAGAATGGCAGTTTTCCCCTTCTGCCAGTTGCTTGAAGGTCTGGCTTTATAGAAGTCAGCTGGATGCCCACATCTGCTTCTTTATTCAGTCTGTTGTGACACCACGTGTCTTAGAGCCTCTGGAGAGAATGAGCAGGAACAAGGCAAATAATGTGTTCTTATCATGAAGCAGTTTTGGCCTGAAGACCTCCTGAAAGGGTCTCGGGGACTTCAGGATCCCCAGACCTCACTTTGAGAACCACTGTTGTAAAGAGAAATGCCATGAGATAGGAGAAAAGGACATGGGGTGGGCTCAGGCAATTCCTGGGGATCACAGAAGTATTTCCTTAGTAAACCTTATCGCTACTTGAAACCCCCTACACCTCCTTGGCCTGTGCTCACCTAAGTCCTCTTGTGGTTTGTTGCTGTGTGTGCTGGGGCAGTGAAGAAGTACGCTTGGTGAGCACCAGTCATCGGTACCATGCTGTTGAACAGAAATGCGTAGGCTTGGGGCGGGGGACTGCATCTCTGTCGCCACACTGTGTAAGAAGGCCCTCATCCGTGCCAGGTAGAGGCAGCAGAATGGTTTTCGTTTGGTTATAATCTTCTGTCCTCATATTTATAAAGAAAGTACTCCAGTTTTACTGATAACCACCATTTAGCCACTAGGACACACCACTCTCGTATAAGTCTGTTCAGGTGTAAACATGGATCCTATCCCCATCTACAAGTATACTGAACAGTGCTTGCTGGCATCAGTGTTTGGCATGTCTTACTTTCATCAGAAAGCAATTGGGGCACCTGGCTGGCTCAGTTGGTGTAAAGTATATGACTCTTGATCTCAGGGTTGGGAGATCGAACCCCACGTTGAGTGTAGAGATTATTTAAAAAAATAAACATTTTTTTTTTAAAAGCTATTTTGGGGCTCCAGAGTGGCTCATTCTGTTAAGTGTCTGCCTTCAGCTCAGGTTGTGTCCCCAGGGTTCCAGGATCAAGTCCTGAATCCTGCTCCCTGCTCAGTGGGGAACCTGTTTGTCCCTCTGCCTCTCCCCCTGCTTGTGCTCACTTTCTTTCCATCAAATAAATAAGATCTTTAAAAAAAAAAAAAGGCTATTTTAATTTCCATCTAAGTGTGATTTTACTCAACTACAGCTGACTTTGCTTTTCCTCCTGCCTCCCCATGCAAGTAAAACATTACTATATAATGAACTTCATGGAAAGTTAGGGATTACTTAATGGGAAATCACTTTACAAGCAAGGGTGACTGAAAAACTCATGTTTTGTTATGCAAGCCAAATTTAAACTGCCCACTTTCACAAATTTCTATGTATTTCATCCTGTAAATTTTTTTTCTTGGTTTAATATGGTTATTTCATTTTGCAGAGGAAAATCTAATGAGGAAAGGTTTCTATTATTACAGCTATTTACATCATTTTTCAGTTTAGCTATATGGTTTTTAAGGGGAAAATACATGGAAAATACACAAATGCTTTGTTTTTTACTGATTTTTAATCAGTTTGTGACTTTCATATCTTCTTAGACTTTTTTAATCCTTAAAATTTGCATGAACCATATATGTTTAAAATATGTGATCATTTTTTGAAGGTGATTTAAGGACATTAATTTATACTTGAGGTAAAGAAAAATCAATCTGTAAAATAATTTCTCAAGAATGTGGGATAGTTTCTAATGGACATTTTCTGCTTGCTCTGTTTTTAGGCCTTTTTCCTGGTCTATGCTCTGGGATGTCTGAGTATTTACTATGAGAAGGTAAAATGTTATATTTAAATAAAATCCGCTTAAATTTTTCCTGGTGTTAAAAGCAGGCTGTAGTAATTTTCATTGCTGTAATACAAACTTACCTACCTTCACTGAATGAAATTGGAGTTAAATTTTTTCTCTAGGTTTAGGCTTTGGGCTCTGAATTGTGATTTTTTAGGGTGAGGGTAAGATTTTATTTATTTATTTTAGAGACTACAAGTTTGAGCAGGGGGAGGGGAGAGAGAATCCCAAGCAGACTTCATGCCAAGTGTGGAGCCTAGTGTGGGGCTTGATCTCACCACCCTGAGATCATGACCTGAGCCAAAGTCAAGAGTGAGATGCTTAACTGACTCAGCCACCCAGGCACCCCCTGAATTGTGATTATTAAGACAGAAGCCAGGTTTGACTCTTTCAGATTGAATTTCATTCCCAGATGCTAGGAGAAGAACAATATCTTAGATAATGATCAGGAAATTGGATCAGAACAGTACTAAAAATTACAATTGCCAGTGTTCAGTGCCTCCTTTGGTAAAAGCTATGTGTTGGGTACCTTACAGGCAGTACTTCTGATCCTTGCCTCTGGCTCGTAAGAATTCTACAGATAAGGTAACTGAGGCTCAGAGGAAGTAAGTAACTCAGCCAGGGTCACACAGCTAGTCTGGTTAGAATTAATACTTGAAGCTATGTGAAGGTATCTCCAAACCTGTGATTGTGTACTGTAGCCTGCTGCCCTCAGAAGAAAGTTCCACGAGAAGCTGATACCATTGCTTACCTTCTTGTAGAGACCTTGGGGGTCTGGGCACACAGGTAGAAACGGAGACTTCACTGTACATTTTTATGCTTTGTGAATTTGGACCATGTGAATATAATATCTATTCCAAATAATTCCAATGAATTAAAAAGAGAAGGGTTAGCAAAGCAATAAATAGAATGGGGAAAGCATATTTTGTTTTGTTCTTGGGAGTGCATAATTTTATCATTCATCAAATTCCAATTATATAAATTATTTTCAAGAGTATTCCAGTAGTTTGAAATGGGTGATGTTTGATGTTTGATGGGTGACTCATTTTCCCAGATGGTGGCCATTCTTTTTTTTTTTTTTTTTTTTTTAAAGATTTTATTTATTTATTTGACAGAGATCACAAGTAGGCAGAGAGAGAGGAGGAAGCAGGCTCCCTGCCGAGCAGAGAGCCCGATGCGGGGCTCAGTCCCAGGACCCTGGGATCATGACCTGAGCCGAAGGCAGAGGCTTTAACCCACTGAGCCACCCAGGTGCCCCCCAGATGGTGGCCATTCTTAACCCACCTTACCTCCTCTCCTGGGCCTTAGTTGAAATTCTTGAGAATCTTCCACTGCTACCTAGAATCTTCAGCCTCTGTAACATGATGGGCTCTCCATACTGGCAGTTCAGCCTTCCTTATGAGACTGTTGCTTATTACGGGAGTGCTGAGTGTTTCCTTGCTTTGGAATTTAAAAGCCACACATGTATGGAGTTTCTACCTTAGGAACAATTAAAAGAAGAAGAAGGAGCAAAAGAAAGGAAGAAAAATACTGTATTTCATATTTATGGATTTAAAATCTCAGGCTGAGACAAACTGAGCAGGTTTCATTGACTGAGCCTTAAACCATCCGGAGAATTAAATGTTCCCGGAACCAAGCCATTCTCCATCTCTTCATATCCTCTGTTAGGAACAGAATTCTCTTTAAAGCAGTCGCATTATTCATTTGTGCCATGAGATAAATTCTCTAGTTCCAAAGACTAAATGGGGCATCTTTTTTTTAAGCTTTTACAAAATTATGTTTTGGTTTCCTGAATGTGGCCTGAAATACAGTAGCTACTCAACTTGGGTCAGTGAAATGTTTGGGACATCCTGCCCTCCAGCTTTGGTGGACTTGTCGCCCTCAAGCACCTGACACTTGCTCACTCCTCTCCCTGGAGTGTTCTTATGCAGCACCCACTGCCACCCCCAGTCCCCCCGCTGCCCCAGGATCCCCCCATCCCAGCCACCCCCAGTCCCCCCTGTTGCCCCTGGTCCCCCCCCACCGCCCCCTTCCACTTGGCTGCTTCCGCCTCATCTCAGACGTTGCTGTTGCATGGCGACCCCTCCCAGAGCAGTGCTCTCTGATGGAAGTGAATATAAACCTCAGACAGGAACTACATGCTTCATTTTAAATTTTCTGGTAGCCGCATTGAAGGGGTTAAAAGAAAAAAAGTCTTATTATTTACAGAGTTTCTTGAACTCAAGTATCATTCTTGTGTTCCTACCAAGTCTTTGAAATTCGGTGTGTATTTTCCACCTGAGGCCCATCTCCCTTCTGGCCTGTGTCTGGTGCTGCCACACTGGGCAGCACAGGCCTAGATTCTCCGTTAAGTCCCTTGGTCATGGGTGCTGTGTGTGTTTACTGCCGGTACAGATGTCAGTTCACTGGCTTGATGACGAGCAAATACATACATAATAATGCCCTTTTTTTTCTTTCACCAACATTAGGAGCCTTTAACAATCCTGAAGCTCTGGAAAGCTTTCACTGCAGTTCAGCCCACATTCAGGACTACATACATGGCATACCATTACTTCCGAAGCAAGGGCTGGGTTCCCAAAGTGGGACTTAAGTATGGGACAGATTTATGTAAGTACTTCCTGAATCGGTAGAATGCTGGTTCTCAGGGTGAAAGCTGAATTGGTAATAAGTGCTGTTGCTGGTTTTTTCCTAAAATGATACCTTCATTTTGGCTTAGATAAAAATATTTGGGTTGGGGTGGAGGGTTTGTCCAGAAGGAATGAAAAGGAAGTCTAAGAGGAAAGCCTGGAGATAGAAGCCTGTAGCCCAAGTATTCAGGTTTTCTTCTCACTTGCTCTGTAATCTGAGAATATCCCCCATTCCCCTCCTCTCATTAGCCATGTGATTGTGTGATACAGGGCAGTCCCTTATCCTCTAGGCCTCAGTTGTCTCATCTGGCAAGTGAGAATGATCATACAATCCTAATAATCGCACCGATGCTTTGTTGACCACTTACTATGTGTCAAGCATTTTAAAATTCATTATCTCATTTAATCCCTAAAGCAATCTTATGCAACTGATACTCTTATTATTTAATTTTTTTTTCTGATTATGGTTGTGAGAGAATGGGTCATTTGCCCCTAATAGTTTCCAGGGTCAGCAACTTAACAGAGCTTGGCTTTGAATTCTGAAGCCCAGGCTCTTAGAAACTGCCTCCTCTTATCTTGAAGGAAGGATTCTGGACCAGATGAGCACTTCAGTCAACAGATAATTACTGAGAGTCTTCTATGGGCCAGGTGTTCTTAGGGGCCAGGAATGCAGAGGTGAATGAGACTAACACAAAGCTGCCTTGATGGAGCTGCTTGCATTCTGGCTGGGGAGACAAATAAGCCAATAAGTAAATGTATAATGTAATTTCAGGGGCTATTACATTCTAAGAAAAATAAACCAGAGTAAAGGGATAGAAAGTGAAGGAAATTAGTTAGGAAAAGACTCTGAAAAGATGTGACCACAAACAAAAATGTGACCACAGTGAGGGAACAGGTCACTTGAGAATCTGGGGAAGAACAGGGTAGGCACAAAGTGAACAGCAAGTGCAAAGTCCCTCAGGCAGGAATGAGCTCGGTCAATCTCAGGAACAAGGTAAAGACAGGGCGTCTAGAACTTAGAGATCCCAGGGAAGAGTGAAGAACATAGTAGGCACAAGGTAAAGAACAAGCACAAAAGCCCTGAGGCAGGCAAGTCTCAGGAACAGCGTAAAGACAGTGTTTAGAATTTGGAGATCCCAGGGGGAGAGTGACGTGAGGTGATATCTTTAAGTTGGGCTGACACAGAGCATGTAGGGCCTGGTTGTTTTTCTGGTGATTGGAAGTCTTGGGAGATTTTGAGCAAAGAAGTGACTTGAAATGAACAGGACCCTCTGTCGTCTCTGTTACTAATGGACAGTGGGGTGGGTCAGGGACAAAAATGAAGCAGAGAGACTTAATTAGGAAAACTGAGCCCAACTAGCCCTGCAGACAGATTGGATGTCAGAATTTCATTTAAGAGGAATCAGGGATAATGCCTGCATACCTGGAAAATGATTCTAGAGCACAGGAATGCCTTCAGATATAAATTTGGAGTTGTCATTAATGCAAGCAGCTCTCAAAGCCGCAGGCCCAGGTGAGTGGACGTAGGTCCTGGGGCCCCTTCCAGCACTTGTTTCACTGCTAAGTCCCTCAAACTCATTTTCTACATCTGCTAAGTGAGGGTGCTTCCTGGATGTTTTCAGAATTATGAGGCTCAAATAAAAATGTCAAGCTCTTTGAGAAATCTTCTGAGAAGTCATGGCCCTGAGGTCTTGTGAGCTGTGTCATATACTTGTTTCATGTGTTCTGAGCCTTTTTTGCCTTTTTTTTTTTTTAACACACAAAGCCAATTCCATCTTTTAAATTTTAAATGCTCTAAGATTGTGCTTAACCTGAAATCATAGGATAGTCTTCAGGAGACCCCAGCATAAAATACTGTGTTTGTAGATTGGTGTGTTTTTCTGATCAAGAGTCCACCTCTTTCATTAAATTCTTTAGTGGGGAAGGAGGGTGTCAGCAGTCCAAAATAAAGGTTAAGGATTTCCTAATCCTCTAAGATAAATGGCTTCTTTTGTTTCTTCCATGCCTGGATTTCAGGTACAGATACACTGACTTAGGGTTAGCACACAAATGACCAGGATTAGCTTGAGATTAGCTTGCTGGGTTTCCACATAATTGTGTTGGCCACAGTTCACGATGCTTAAATAAGTTATGTGCCTGTTTTATTTTCCTTCATTGGCTTCCCACCCTGTTCTCCTTTTCATTCTCCTGTAAGAATAGCCGTTTGGTGCAAACGCCTGGCAGGTCTTCCTCAGCTTTCTCATTGTATGAGTGAAACTTGAGTTAGAATTTTCCAGTCAACAAGGCTGCCCGGATACTTTCAGAGATGGCATGGGGCTAGTCAAAAGAGCTCTTTGGCCTCACAGCCAGCTTTTCTTCTTTACTGTGTGGCTTCAGGCAAGTTACTTCATCTCTCTGAGTGTCCATTTGCTCATCATATAACATGGATAACACCATCTTTACAAAAAATAAAAAATTGCAGGGGAAAGGGGCCTTTGTTGACTGCCTTCTAAGCATACCTGAGGTACACTCATGTATGATGACTGATGTATTTTCAATACTAAGCCATATTTGTGAAGAGTTTTTTTTTATTTTTTTAATTAAATTTTAAAAATTTAAATTAAATTTTTTTTTTAAGATTTTATTTATTTATTTGACAGAGAGAGAGAGACAGCAAGAGACTGGGGGTGGGGGGAATGGGAGAGGGAGAAGCTGGCTTCCCACTGAGCAGGGAACCTGATGGAGGGCTCAATCCCAGGATCCTGGGATCTTGACCTGAGCCAAAGGCAGAGGCTTAAAGACTGAGCCACTGAGGCGCCCCTGAAGAGTCATTTTTAAAACAAATCGCCTAATAGGGATGGTTGAAAGGACAGATTTTTTTTTTTTTTTTTTAAAGAAATGAAACAACTGTTATTTCCCGACTCCCTGGAGGCCTTTGCCACAGCTGGGTCATATCATGTACTTTGAGCTGCTTGTATAATTAATGTGAGACCAGGTTTCTGGAACAGCAGCAACATGAGGGGTGTCTTCACATTTCCTGCTTTAGCAGGGGTTCACAAGCAGTGCTAGCCTGGGATAAGAGGAACAGCTTCTTGGGGCGCCTGGCTGGCTCAGCTGGTAGAACGTGCAACTCTTGATCTCGGGGTTGTAAGTTGAAACCCCACATTGGGTGTAGATATTACTTAAAAATAAAATCTTTTTAAAAAAAGAAAAGAAAAGAGAAACAGCTTCCTAAGCTTTTCCTCTGCTCTAGGCACAGGCGCTTAGTGCCTGATGTTTTTTAACAATAATATTATTTTAATTTTAAGGGCCAGTGACCAAATCACACATACCCTAGAGCTGTCAACACAGGTTAAGCTCAGGACATCCCCTCATAACTATTGTTTCTGCTTATAGAGGTAATGACCCATGACAAAGGGCCATTATGAAATTCACATCTTATCAGGAAACTCTTCCCTTGAATAAATCTTGTCAATCCCTTTTCATTCCAGAAGCAGTACTCGGAACAAATGATATGGATCTCAAATTGAGTGCAACTGCAGAGCTACTTGACCTTGATCACCCACTGGTGAAAACCAGATTAGAAACCAAGTGGGAGCCTTTCCTTATATTCCCCTCCCAAAGGTTCCCACAGTTGCTGGCTCTCATGGTGACCCAGCACCTTGCCTTGGTGCTTTTCTTCCCTCATCTTATTTAATCTTAATACTCCTGTGAGGCATATGGCATTCACTTCCTTTTATATGACACTGGGGAAATTATAGTTTAGAAGGGTCAAGGAAGTTGCCAGGGGTCCCCCAGCAAGTAAGTGTGGAGGTTCGCTCCGTCTGGGTCCAAGCTCCATGTGCTTCCACCACACCAGACTGCTGCTGCCGGCCAGAAAGCTGAAAACCAGCTCCAGGTGTATATTTTTCTCTGACACATGCAGCTACTGGTTGATGTGACTGACTTAAGATCTAGTTACTCCTAAGCCTCCCTCCCACCTTGACTGAGTTGGGTCATGTAATTTCATAGCTGCCTATGAATTAGAAGTTGCAAGACAAGTGGAATGATGGGAGACATTAGAAGCCAGCAGAGTACCAGGTTCCCAGAGACCAGAAGAGCCCTCCCTAGTCATGACACCCATCTCAGAGGCTGATAATTGGTTCTGCGTCCAGGAAGAGGCATCAGAGCAGCTCCTCTGTACTCACCACAAACAAAGAGCTGTGTCTTCTTCCCATGTCTTGGTTCTTTCCTAAACCACTCTCTTGGCTTATTTTTCCAGTTAAACATTGTAAATATTTTTTTTTAATTTTATTTATTTGACAGAGAGATCATAGGTACGCAGAGCGGCAAGCAGAGAGAGAGGAGGAAGCAGGCTCCCTACTGAACAGAGCACCTGATGTGGGGCTCCATCCCAGGACACTGAGATCATGACCTGAGGCGAAGGCAGAGGCTTAACCCACTGAGTCACCCAGGCGCCCTACATTTTAAATATTTTTATTAACATTTTCCACATCTGCTCACACAACCCATAGTATTTCTACATGCAACCCATGAGAATAGGGACATTCTCCTACATAACTATAATACCGTGCAATACCTGAGAGAAATCAGAACTTAGAGTATCATCAAAATACCAGAAAACTTAAATTTCTCTCTGTTGTCCCCAAAATGTCTTTTGCAGCTATGGGGATTTTGTTGTTGTTTTAATGCAGGCTCTACTCATAGTTCATGTATCACATCTGGTGTTAGGTTTCTCTTTTATTTTTCTAGGGTTGCCATAAGAGATTACCAAAGTCTGGGGGTGCTTAAAACAAAAGAAATTCATTTCCTCACAGCTCTGGAGGCTGGAAGTCTGCTGGGCAGTAGGGGACATTGATCCCTTGCGTCATCAGCGGCTAGTGGCACTGGGCGTCCCTCGGATTATGGTGGCATCACTCCAATCTCTGCAAAGAGCCTTTTCCAAAGAAGGCCATCTCCCAGATTCCAAGGATTAGGACATGAATGTATCTTTTGGGGGCCACCATTCACCCCACCACAGCCTCTTTAGCTTTTTTTAAATCTCTAACAGTTTCTCTACCTTGTTTGGTTTTCATGACTTTTTATTTTTGAAGAGTCCTAGAGGATATCCCTCTACATTTTAGATATGTTTGTTTCCTCACGATTAGACTCCGGCTCACATTCTTTGGCTTGCGTCGGTGCTATGGGTATTGTACCCTGTCAGGAGGTACTTAATGTCAGGCTGTCCCACTGTTGATGATACTAAGTTTGATTAGTTGGATAAAGTGACCATTATCAGATGTCCATTGTAAAATTGCATATTTCCTTTTGTAATTAACAAGGAATGTGTAGGATGAGACTGTGCATATCTGCATCCCCAATAATTATAATGGTTGCCCAAGTTGGTTTTTGCCCTGATCATTTTCTAATTCTGTCATTCCTTCCACATGCCATGTCTGGCTTACATTTATAAGGAGGAGCTTTCTCTTTTCCCCATTCTCTCAGACTTCGTTTTTGAATGCCCAGGATTTCTTAGACTTCGAAAGTTTTCATCTTTCTGCTTGAGAGGCATTTTTGTAAAACGATTTTATTGTTCACTCTGAAGACACTGTCATCATTATGAATATTATCCCAGGTAGCATTTTGAACCCTCACTTTATGCCAGCCACTGTGCCAACACCTCTATCTTCAATTACTACCCCCAGATTTTATAAGAAGGAGATTGAAACACAAGGTGTTGTCATTTGGTCTTGACACTAAAAAGACTTGAACCTGGGTCTGTCTGATGCCACTGTTCATGCTTGTAACTTGTAAGCTATACCACCAACCTTATCAGTCATCTGAAATGACCTGACTTAGGGGTGGAGGCTGCTTTCCAGCTATGTAATGTTCTAGTGTCCCAGAAGCACGTTAGAGATGTGTGCCTGATCGTAAGTAACGGTATCTGAGTGCTGGAAAAGATCTCAGTTGCCCCTTGTTCTTCATGTTGCAATTTTGGAAACTGAGGCTCAGAGATGTTAGTAACTTGCTTGAAGTCATACAACCGTGAGTGGCAGAAACCCGGCAGGCAGCAAAACTCCTGAATTCAAATTCATTCCAGTACATGGTTTCCTTCCCTACACCACATCTCAGAAAGCTGAGGATTGTATGTTAGGGTATTTACTTAAATTTGTCCCCTTACACGCAGTGAGTTTGAGCTGACTTGCCAAATCCTTTAACTATAATTTAAATAGGAAATATCATAGTAAGAAGGAAACATGACCCTAGTAAATGTAGTCTAGGTGAAGGGTTGCTGTAATGTCCATGGGCCTACGGGTTACTACTCATGCTGTCAAGTTGGCTCTGAGCTTGCTGAGCCTAAGGGAAATGTGATTAGCTACAGTACTGGCATGGCCAAAAAAGAAAATTTTCTCCATTTCTCAAAGGATAAAAAGCTTTCCTGCATTGATTTTGCACTGGGGATAGTCACAAGCTTATAGATATAATTGTGTATTAGTAAAGATAAATTTTATACCTGTAGTTACATATAAACCCCAGATCTCAGAGGCTTAACAACAGAAGTTAATTTTGCATGTGCAATCCGAAAACTGGTGTCTCTGAGTGGGGGTGCAGATCAACTCCCAAAGGTGCTTCAGGAGTCTCGCCTTCTTCCTTACGGCTCTGTGGTCTTCACCACATGGCTTTGAAGGTCATCTTCAAAAAGAAATAAGTACAGGCTTGGTACCTGGCAGGGTCTTATGGGCCAGCCTGGCTGCCTGGGAGACTAAGAGAAATGATCTAGCCATGTGCCTAGAAAGAGAGGAAATGAGTTTGATAAACAGACTTGCCACAGACTTTGTGCCTCTGAAGGGTTCCCTATGCAGTTCAAGATTCTCCGGGTCAGAGTCCTTGCCCCGGGCTCTTGTGGGCACTGGCTGTTGACCTCCACAGATTGACTTAGTAGGGCAGACTCATCTCCAAATTACCTGTATGATTACGTGACTGTTTTCCCCACCTGACTGAATTTCTTAAAAAGTAGTGATGATTCTTACTCATCTCTAGCACCAAAACTCCAGCCAGCTTGTACCTGGCTGGAGTAGCTCAGACACTTTGAATTACTTTGATTTGAAATTAATAACAAAATATTGGTCAACATTATATGTACTTCGCATGTTTAACATAATTTCACATTCTCACTCTGGAAGAGTATAAGACAAGAGGCAAGACCAAAATCACTTGCATTTGAATTTGGATTTCATTTGTGAGGGAGGGTGAGATAAAATTGTTAGGATCCTGGCCACAGATTTGCTTTACTAATTGCTTTTTGTTCCAGGGGAAGAAAACAGTTTGGGTTTTAAAAATAGATCACGGGGCATATTGCAGATTACCCATATACAGATAATTGGGTATTTATATCTCTTTAGAGAAGAGAAAATGCCAGTAATAAGATTTTGATTTCAAGTGGTTATACATTTTCTTTCTTTTTCTTTGCAGTGTTGTATCGAAAAGGCCCTCCATTTTACCATGCAAGGTTTGGAGTGATTTTTAAATAAGTTTATCGTTTGAAGGAACAGGAGGAAATTTGTCTTCCAGTGTAATTTTCAATGCCACAGAAACTATTACAGTCGCGTTTCTCTTGACCTATTAGGAATAGATGCTCTAAATCTGTGCCTTATACATTAACATTGTTGTACTATATGTAAAATAATGAATAGGTTATGACAAATGTGTTGTATGTAGTGTTACACTTTTAGTTAATCTATTGCAGTAATTGTTCGTCTTAATATCAGTGAGTGTTAGTATCTAAACAGTTAAGTGAATTCATGGCTTTCTTTTTTTCTTTTTAAGATTTTTGTTTATTTATTTGACAGAGAGAGGGAGAGATCACAAGCAGGCAGAGCAGCAGGCAGAGAAAGGGGGAAAGTAGGCTCCCTGCTGAGCAGAGAGCCCGATGTGGGGCTTGATCTCAGGACCCTGAGATCATGACCTGAGCTGAAGGCAGAGCCTTTAACCCACTGAGCCACCCAGGCACCCCGAATTCATGGCTTTCTTATTGGAAGAAATATTTCCGTTCTCTCCTTGTCAGTGTTGAGATGAGCCTGAAAGTTTTTAATGTAAAGCAAACGTTTTCATTAATACTTTTCCCAGTAACTTGCAAGGACATTTAGGATTAGATGATGTATGTTTTATTTTCTGTATTTTTGTACTTGGTAGAATAAGCATTATCCATTTAAAGAGGTTGATTTCATGCTGTTTATTTTTATAACGCCTTCTGTGTCTTCCAGTTACTCTGTCATTATTGAGTTGGTCGATGACCATTTTGAGGGCTCTCTTCGCAGACCTTTCAGTTGGAGGTCACTGGCTGCCTTGAGCAGAGTTTCAGTTAATGTCTCCAAGGTAACAACATCAGCTTTAGCATTCACGTGTCCCTTAAAATGGTTGGATTTTTTTTTTTTTATTAAATGTAATAAAATCATAGAAGTCTCTGTAGGAACTTCACACCTGCCAGCGAGAAGGGGCTAGAAGCTGACCTCCTCTCACATTCCCTGCCATCACCCACTCGTGCTCAGCTCCAAGAATTGAGCTTCAAAGCTTCCTGTAGTGATTGATGTAGGTGGGCCTTGCCTTCCTTCCCAGAGGTGCTGTCAGCACATGCTCAACAGTCACTCACACACATTCACAAGGGAGTCAAAACATCGGTAAATTTCAGAGCTAGCAGATCTCTTGAAGAGAAAGGAAGGATATTAATATTTATGGCTAAACACTGTATGTGTTTTCTCACCACCATGTTGTTATCCTCATCCCTAAGGGTGAGGAATCAATCAGAATCAGATCCTGAGTGACAAAGCCAAGATCACACAGCTTATACGCAGAATTGGGATTTAAACCCGCAGTCATCCGACTGCCTGGCTTGTGTTCTGCTGGATTCTGCTGTCATCAAGATAGGTGGGAAATTTCATCTTACACCAGGACTACTAAGGATGAAAGCTTTGTGTGTAATCTGTCATCCAAAAGTTTGCTAACTGAACACAGATTGTGAACCCCCTCTGGCTGTGCCCCAGTGCTCTTGGAGGCACGGTGGCAGGGGAGACCAGAAGGTCCAGCAGAGGCCAGGTGGAAACTATCTTGAGTCCAGGTTAAGTTGCTTATGCATGGCCTATAAAAAGCAACTTTGTCTGTTAGAAATAGGGAGTCTATACTGCTTTTAGTACTTTTAGACCCACTTTATGGGACTTGTAGCATATATTTAATATTTTAAATACTGTGTTTATAATCCATATATTTGCTTTATTTGCATTCTCTTGCCATGTCAACAATGACTAAATGGCAGGTCCTTAGTCTAGCTCTCGGGTCCAGTCATGTTCCTAGGAGGAAATCGATGTGCTTTGTGAGTTTCCAAGAGCGCACGACGGGAGGGAACGGAGCCTGCCTGCATTTCCTGCACCCAAATTTATGTTGTTATTGTGTGGAATGTGGACATTTTCTTCATCTCTCAATAGGAACTGATGCTGTGCTATTTGATTAAACCCTCTACCATGACTGACAAAGAGATGGAGTCCCCAGAATGTATGAAACAAATTAAAGTTCAGGTAGGTAAACTCAGAGACAGACTCATGGCATCCCAAAGATTCTGTCCACCATATTGTGTCCTCTGGAACATGTGGTCCCAAGAAAAAAAATGAAAACCATCTTTCCTTGGTAACAGGAAGCCCCCGCAGAGGCCCTCTCCCTGCTGAGCCCACTCTCACTCCCCCGTAATTCCTGCTGCCACTTTATCTGCTGTGTCATTTGGCTTCGGTCCCCACCATCTAGCCGATGCCGCTTTTACAGACAGCCTGGGACCTCCTAGCCTCCCCCAGGTCTCAGTCCCAGAAACTAAAGTGGTGCTGCTAACTCACTCCCCGCCTTGAACTTCTTATCTGGCTTCTGAGTCTACTGGCAGGTGTTTCTCCACCATGGCGGCCATCCTGTTACCCAGTATTAGTGACTATTTCTGCCCCTCGCGCTTCCTGTGACTGTTCCCCCACATCCAGCATATTGTCGGTTTTCTTTGTCTCTCACCTTACACCCTTTCTTGTTCGCACTGCTCTGTCCCGCTGCAGCCTTGCCAGCCAGCCTCCCCAGTGCCCGTGCCTCATCTGAGCAGTTTGCCCCGCTCGCACCCCCTAGGTTAGCTGTTCTTCGCGTGCCAGCCCAGCCCACTGCTCCCTTCTCAGTGCTGGCCTGGATATACCAGCATGGTTTCAGAGCTGGTTCTAATGGTAAAGGCTCACTTTCATACTGGCACTCCTGTTGCTGAAATGTGCTAATGGAATACCACTGCCAACACAAGTTTAGCTTTTAAAATCTTGGTGTGATTACGGTAGACGGTATTTGCATGGAAGGTGTGTATTGCTGCCTTCCCCTTAGCCCCAGGTGTTTCAGTGACAAGGAATGGGAGTGGATATCATCATTCTATAGACGGTTCTTTGTGAAATGTTGCTGTGATCCCACACACCTAGCATGTTCTTTCATTTCTGTTCTTGAAATTTTTAGTCACCTTTTTATTTTCATTGGTTACAGGAGGTGATTCTAAGCCGTTGGGTTTCTTCACGAGAGAGGAGTGACCAAGATGAACTTTAACAATTCAACCTCAGAATTCTACTTTATCAGCAAATGCTATTCAGTCTCCTACAGTAAGCCAAGTTCAGTGTGAGGTAGAGTCCTCTTATTATAATCACCTGATTATTGAAAACTTTTAAAGGGCATAGCAGTCCCAGCACCAAGAAGCAGTTAGTATTTTACAAGATAAGATTACACAGGGGAGAAAAAAGAGCCCCGTGCTGGCCTCAGATTCTGTCCTTGGGTCAGTAACTGACTCCCGCATGATACTGAGCAGCTCGTCTGTGGGCCGGGGTCCTCATCTATTCAGTAAGCAGGTGCGACTAGATGAGTCCCAAGAGGACTCTTCCGGCAGCAAGGAAATTCTGTTACTCTCTGATTTTACTTGAAAATGACAGTAGTTTACATTTATGTGGCACAGTACAGTTTCCCAAACACTCGTACACGTGCATCTCTTGTAACTCACCTCCAGGCTGTTCCTGAGAGAGTGCCGGAGAGATTTGGGGATTGTAAGGCTCTGTATTCTGTTATGTTAAAGGGAACTAATAATGTGTATCTCACCTTATCTAAGAACCTGAACCAATTACTCAAACGCTTAAAAATCCGTTTAATATCTGTCAAGGATTTCCGTGTCATAAAGCCTTTAAAACCTAATCTTTAGCTCTCCGCGAACTCACTGATGGACATGCTTGTGTATAGTACACAACAGTATTGTACAGTATTAAAGAAAAATTGCATCGTGCTTCAGTGAACTTGCTATAAAATTTTTAAAATGTAGTGAAATAATGTATGGAGTTACATAATGAATGCAGTTAGCATTTGGTAAAACACAATAAACCAAGCCTTTTTCAAATCGCTTGCGTACCATTGAAGGTTTGCAGGGTGGCGGCGGGGGTGGAGGGGCAGATGAGCAGGGGAGAGGCCAGTATTGGTGTGAGGGAAACAAATGTCAGATTCGTCCCATGTCCAAATTCAAGACACTGGCAGACAGTCTTCTCCTTGGCACTAAATATCCCAGTAGTGGATGGTACGAGCTGGAAGCTGAGAGATGACTAAGATGGGAATCTGTGTGCATTCCTCTGGCGCTGCCAGCAGCCTGAGATGCTGCTTGTAGTTGCGTGTGTTAACGCGGTGCTTCTGTTCACGGCAGGATCCTGTTCCCTCACACGAGAATCATTGTATCTGCACGGCCTCCGTTTTAAAGATTTGGCATTCAGATGAAGGAGGTTGTCCATTTTTTCCCCTGCCTCAGACCAATAATGATCATCATTTTGAAAGAGTCTCTTAGTAGTAAGTCCTTTTGCTCTTCATTAGTGATGCTAATACTTCAATATTTTTACTACCCACTTTGCTTTCTCCAGGCTCCTTAGCAAAGTAAAAGACTTGGCTTTGAAGCAGCACCCTCTCAAAACCCTGAGGGTGAGCAAAATTTCTGGAGCCATTTTTTTCTCTATTTCATCTGTCATTGGTGGTGACGTTTCTCTCCAAGCCTGATCAGTGTATCATGTGCCTTTCTGGTAAAACATGAATCCTTCATCAAAGTCCTGTCCTCCTGTGAGCACTCCACGTCACATATCTTATCATCAGCTAATGTGCCTTCAAGGTTGTGGGAACTCCCTTCATGTAATGGCCACATTAAAGATGCAGAAAAGCCACAAGACTGCACAGGTATTATTTCTAACTGAAGGCTCTAGAAGAATGTTCAAAAGCATCATCTTTAGACCAGCCTCTTAGGAAAGATTTTCCTTCTTCAAGTCCACAGTGTGAATGTCATGTAGCAGCCCATGCGCTCTTCAGCATTACCCAGGGGCCCTGGGGTTCTGGAATGATGTACCGCAAAGGTTTTGGTTTACATGCGCCTCACAGTTACCAGCAAAAAGAGTAGGATTAGCTTATCTGTAGATGTATTATGTCCTGGAACTTTTTTCTCACCTTCTGAAATAAACGTAACAGATGGCGTGTGTTTTCTTTTTAAAAAGCTCAGGTTGAGCAAGATTGGAAATTTGTTCTGTGATAAAACCACCTTCAGGCATGGCCGTGGTTCACTGAGGGAGATGCTGCTGCCTCACTGAAAACGGAAGTTGCTTCACCTACTCTCTTCAAAGTGTGTTTATGTGGCTCTTAAATCATGAACCTTCCAGGCTTGCTTCAAAACGAATTCTTCACCAAATCCTCCCTCTGCTCCAGCACTTCTCAGCCCTTCCGAGGCATCTAAGCTGCTTGCTGTAGCAACATGTGCTCAGGGGCATCGCGCTGACCAGCTGTGCACCCTCCATACAAGGATTTCACTGGATTTCAAGTAGCATGCCACACTCAAGAGCACCATCAAACTTCGTGGAACCAACACTTTTTCCAAGTTCTGTTTTGTCACCCAGTGCAAAAAACCATACACAAATAAAGGGGGAACACATGTTTGGCCAGGATTCTTTTATATGATCACCTTTCTCAAATTATTATCACTTTTTTTTTTCTTCTAAGGGGATTTCCTAGGCCTTTAAAACTCACCTACTTTCTTTTTTTCTTTTTTTTTTTTAAGATTTTTATTTATTTGTTTGGCAGAGAGAAAGAGCACAACCGAGGGGAGTGGGAGAGGGAGAAGCAGGCTCTCCACTGAGCAGAGAGCCCAATATGGGACTCGATCCCAAGACCCTGGGATCATTACCCAAGCCAAAAGCAAACACTTAACACTTAACCAACTGAGTCACCCAGGTACCCAAAACACTTACTTTCTTCATGAACTTTTCCATTTCCATAAGAGACATTTTTACTCAATAAAGTGGGGGAAATGATGTGACCATACACCACCATCCAAACAGCACAAGCATTGGGTGGTCAGCTAAGACTAGCGCATGCTGTGTGCTTCAGGCACAAGTTGAGTGATTTTTCTGCAGACTCAGACTCATTTTGGGGTGGGGGGGTGGGTGTAGCCAATATGGAATACCATTTTTTTTTGGAAAAATTATTATAGCAAAAAAAATATATTATTATAGCAAATAAATAGTGGAGGTTAAGATGGGGCAGACACCTGTGTTCATGCTTCTCCCACAACAGACTTTTGAGTTTCTGCCCTAGGACGAAGGTTTTGAGTCTCAGAGATGTGACCACCACACACCACCGCCACCAAGTACAAGTGGAGGACTTGACCCGAGAGCTCTCGGTCCTGGGTTTAGTGCCTTTACAAGATCTCCAGCAGAAGTGACACGGGCCTAGAAAAACATGTGAAATCAGAAATACAGCACAGATGACTTTCAGTTGCTTCCAGCCATGCGGATTCGTTTGGTGGGGGGTTGGGAGTAGACAGGAAGCACTCTTGTAAGAACCACCATACCTACCATCCGTTAAAGGGAAACTGAAGGGAAATAGTAAAGTCTGTGGCTTTGCTGGCCTAAGTTCTCCTGTAAGGAGATTGAATTCTAGAAAGTGATTAGTTGGTAACATTACTCTTGGCAGGGATTAAACCAGCATGAATGGGGCATAGTTTTAGGCAGGTTTACCAGGGTGGGGTTGGTTAGGTTTCTCTTCCTTTTAAATACTGTTTATTGGGGCACCTGGGTGGCTCAGTGGGTTAAAGCCTCTGCCTTTGGCTTGGGTCATGATCCCAGGGTTCTGGGATCGAGCCCCGCATCGGGATCTCTGCTCGGCGGGGAGCCTGCTTCCCCCTCTCTCTCTGCCTGCCTCTCTGACTGCTTGTGATCTCTGTCAAATAAATAAATAAAATCTTCAAAAAATAAATTTAAATAAATAAATAAATAAATACTGTTTATTGGGTTTTCCTGGTGGTAGGAGTAATTCATCAATGCTCCAAAGGCTTTGGGAAGATGCCTTTTGGGTGGATCAATTTAGACTTTCAAATGAGGAACACTTAGGCCAACTTTACGACATTGCTGTGAAAAGGAGCCCAGCAGTTGGCCACTGCGGCCATTGCGAGGTGTTGGTGGAGACTACGTGTGTGCCCCAGGGCAGCATGGGACAGGGGTGCTGAGATGCAGAGGCATGTTGTTGGGAGTGCCAGCGAGAACTCCTCTGGGAAATGGAGTTGGTGCCAATGCTGAATTGCCTTGTACTTCTGTTAGCATTTAACTGGTATGATAAAAGAAACTTAATGGAAGGAGTCTCGGGTAATAATTCTGCAAAACTAAGCAACATTGCCATCTATTGGTGTTATTTCAATGCTGAATTTCCTTTGTTAGGGGTAAAGCTTATAGGGTCGTGCTGTGATTTTTATGAGTGGGAGTTTGTGGCCTCCTGAAGTGAAAAAAGAAATAGGGTGACTACTGCTATGGTCACCCCCAGGTTGGAGAGCGGCCCCTAAAACAGGCGTTGGGGACCCTGAAAGCTTTGTTTGAAAATCAAGTGAAGCACTAAGAGAAAGCATGAACTTGGTATTTCTAGCATTAACCGTTCTTATTTTATCTGAATAGTTTTGTGACATTTATTTCCTTTCCGTATTTGAATGTCAAAGCAAAATCTTTATTTTCTCCTTTATCTTCTCTAATGATGGCAAATCTGTGACCCAGTTGCCACAAATCCCAGGTACCACTGGCTGCTTTCAGATTGCCAGGTGGCCCAGGGAGTTAAGTGCACAGCCTTTGCAGTCATACCTAGGTCTGATCTCTGGTTTTTCCACTATGTGACTTTGGGCAAGTCATTTCTTCAGTTTCCCTTTTCATCTGTAATAGAGGCATATTGTTAGTACCTACCTCACAAGATGGTCTTAAGGATCAAAAGGGAAGAAAGAGGAAGAAATTTACTCAGGTGTGGAATCCTTAATGATACCCATTAAGTGCAGCTGCTCTGATTATCAATAATTGGGAAACAGCTAGACCAGGGAAGTAGAGTCCTAAAACAGTGTGTTAAGAGAATAGAGACAAATTAGAATATTTCCCAAACTCAACACTTTTCATCTTTACCCAGTTGAAGTCTTTATGACTTCTTGAACACCACAGAATAGTAAGCATGATTCTGTTTAAAGTGGCATCATATTCTGGGTGGGAGGTTTTGTTTTTCTTAAAAGTACCTGAACCTATAGATGGAAGTGGTGTACTATGCCTTTTTTCCCCACTGAAGTTACCAAGTGCTGAAACTTTACCCAAATGCCTCTTTGGAAACAGGCCTTAAGGATCTGTAGCAAGTTTTCTAAATATCTTTCTTATGAGTAAATTATTGGTTCCGTGAAGATGGATTTGGTTTTTAGAAAGTAGACATCTTTATTTGGTGCCGTAGCTGGGGAGATTAGCTGTGGTGGTAAATCACATTTGGTCAAAAACAAACTGAATTCTGGAAGCAGTTTCCAGAGAGGAACGATGAAATGTTTTCTCCTTGGCTATTTAAAGTTCAGTGATCATTTGGGTATATGAATTCTGATGTGGTTGTTAAAAATCACCTCACTTCTTTATAATTCCTCATCCCAATTATCCCCTTCTTCCCCCTGAAGGTATTAAAGAAAGAAGTCGACCTTTCATTGTGTTCTTCCTGAATTCTGTATTTATTTATTTTTAAGATTTTATTTATTTGACAGTGAGAGATGGAACACAAGCTGGGGAAGCGGAAGTGGAAGCAGAAGCGGAAGCGGAAGAGGGAGAAGCAGGCTTCCTGCTGAGCAGGGAGCCTGATGCAGGCTCAATCCCAGAACTCCAGGATCATGACTGAGCCAAAGGCAGATGCTTAACAACTGAGCCACACAGGTGCCCCCTGAATTCCATACTTAAAGTAGACAGAAGAGGGGCACCTGGCTGGCTCAGTCAGAAGCACACGCAACTCTTGGTCTCAGGGTTGTGAGTTCAAGCCCCATGTTGGGTGTAGAGATGACTTCAAATAAATAAAGTTTAAAATATAAATAAATACAGTAGACAGGGGATGTACTTGCCTTGGTCAACTCAACACCCCAATCTCCTCATGTCAGGTCAAGTAATATGAGAGAGAAACAGACTGACTGAGTGAATTGCCATCCACTTTGCATATAGTCTCATAAAGACTGATTGAGAAGTGGAACCCATTTCCTAACTTAGATTCAGAAACCCTTACTTGCTTGTTTTCCTGCTCTCTTTCTTTCACTATTACTGTCAAAAGGTTACCATGCACTTTTTGAATAAAAACAGGAGAATTTATTTCATAAATTGTGTCTCGCTCACCTTTCTACAAATGCCCTTTCTAGGTTCACATGGAAAGATGAATTTGTTCAGCTTTAATTAAAAAAATAGCTTTCATTGTCCTGTGAATAAAAGATGCTGCCACTTTATGCTGTAACATGGAACCTCAGTTTAAAAACAGAACCATCGGGCGCCTGGGTGGCTCAGTGGGTTAAGCCGCTGCCTTCAGCTCAGGTCATGATCCCAGGGTCCTGGGATCGAGTCCCACATCGGGCTCTCTGCTCGGCAGGGAGCCTGCTTCCCTCTCTCTCTGCCTGCCTCTCTGTCTACCTGTGATCTCTCTCTGTCAAATAAATAAAATCTTAAAAAAAAATAAAAATAAAAAAAATAAAAACAGAACCATCCCCTGGGGATAAAAATATATGTTTATAAAAAATAAAAAAATAATAAAAAAAGAAAAAAACAGAACCATTATGAGGATAATTTACTTGAAATGAGTGGAGCCTGGGTGGCTCAGTCAGTTAGGTGTCTGCCTTTGGCTCAGGTCATGATGCCAGAGTCCTGGGATGGAGTTCTGCTTCAGGCTCCCTGCTCAGTAGGAAGTCTGCTTCTCCCCCTCCCACTCCCCCTGCTTGTGTTCCCTCTATCCCTGTGTCTCTCTCTGTCAAATAAATTTTTTTTAAAAAATTTACTTGTATTGCATACAATTTTTAAAACTTTAGCAAAACATAGCAATTTTTATTAATTTCATAAACACAATGCAGTAAGTAGGAATGTGCTACAAAGAAAGCCATTTAACACCTTGTTATTAACCACAGTTGAACACACGTAGAAATCCCTCAAACCGTCTAACGGTGCTGCCCCCCTGCTCTTAGCACACTCAGCACGAGCCGCTCCCCTCCGGAGGACTTGTCTCCTCATCAGGGTGATCGGTCACATAGAAGCCATGCTCCTCTATCGCCCGGTAGAGTGTGATGTACTTGGAGGCCTTCCTCGTCCTTGGCACCACATACTTCTCTGTGAACTCTTCTTTGCCCAGTTGCTCCTTGCCTTCTGTGGTCAGAATACAGTTAATGAATGTGAGGGTGTAACTGTAGCAGTTATGACGGTCTTCTTCATACCTTAGAAAACAAGGATGGTGAGAAGAGAAGGCTGAGGTTTCAAAGTGGCTCAGACACAGGCCATGAAGCCGCCAAGGGACTTGCAGGATTGAAATTGGGGCCTCCGCACACTGGGTCTGCTGGTCCCCTGGACAACTGAACTCCCAGAGTGCAGATCTGAAGGATGCTTGGCCTCTCGGGCTATTTCTGCTTGCAACTTCA